CAATAATTCTCTCTGTGAATAGGGTTGCATCTCCATAGATCTGACCTGTAATGTAGACTATAGTAGTCTCCCTTGAGATAGATAGCCTTAATTTTTACTGTGAAACATTGTAGACAAAGCAATAACATCTCTGTGAAGACAAGCAGCTGACAAATCCTCCACCAGAAAAGTTTCAAAGTGCACCTTTAAAGTAGATGCATTGTGCAATTATATGTTACGTAAGGCAGCCCAAGTCTAACTCACCTTCTTATCTTATTGAATTGTTATTGCTTTGCCTGGAATGTTCCACAGTATGACATTAAACACATCTATCTAAACCTCACTATAACACATTTTTAAGTGTGATATATTGCTGAAGTAAATATACACATATAATTGAAACCAAACCATAAATCAGAATTATCCCCACAAAAGTATCCTAAATGTAGAATATTGTTAAAAACATGAGCTACAAGAAATAAATGGTAGAATGCAGCAATTGTTCATAAAGTCATAATGAGGTCATAATTCAACCTTGTACAGCACAAATCTTATAATCCAGAAAAAAAAAAAAACATTTCCCACTAATACAAACTAATACACATGATAAATATTGACCCCCCAAAATAATTGTTCTTTTTATCATGTACTGAGCAGTAGTCGATATATTAATTATTGTGATAGGCACTACATCTTTCTCCACAAATACAAGATAAAAGTTCAAGTTACAAGTCATATTTGGTCAAAGTATTTTTACAGATATACACATTTGTAATTTAATGAGGCAAAATGGATAAGTGCATTCCAGGAAAGGCAATAACATTTACATTAGGGACAAGCAGCTACCAGGCCTCCACAAGTTACACAGTGTACCTTTTAAATCTTCAAATTTTGTTCTAATTGTATTAAAATCATGTATTATTTGTGTATGTGCTCAGCTGGTGGATAGAGAGTCTCATATCTTCTCCTCTCATGCAGGAGTCTGGGGTTTGATTCCCTGTGGGCTCAGACTCCAGTCACCTTTGTGCTGGTCCCTAGAGAGGGTTTCTTCCTATGCCACACAACATTTGCATTTCACTGGAAGATTCTCAGGGTTACCTTTGAAGGGGGGGGCTATAAATATTTGTTGAGGTGCAGTATTGCAACAAACTACCTGCGTTTGTAAATCTGTATGTAAATGATAGTCTTATGGAGTATTTTGTTATTCGTTATTTCAATTATTGTTGTCATGTGAAAAAGAACATAGATGGAAAATGATGCACCATACATGTTCCAGCGTGTGATAAAAATAACCATCAACAATATATTTTTTAGGGATGCTGATTCTGGAAAAAATTGCCTGATTGGATATTGGCTTCCAAATATCAGTTCAGTCGATATCCTGGTAAAGTGGTAAACTGATGTAAAGGTTGGCTCAGACAGTCTTGTGATGTTTTAATTTTTATTTACATAAAGCTGTTCTGTAGTTATTTATTCAAGATATAAATAACACATCTGAATCAGTTTTGTCTTATTTTATTTTTGTTTTGTGTTCTGGTATTGGTTCATATATTGGCGTTTACTTAAAGCCATAGTATTGGAATCGGTATCGGAACTGAAAAACATTGATGTTGTTGATTATACGTTGTCATTTCACATTGTCTCATTCTGTATTAATAACAAAACAAATCTACTTTTTTAGAGATGGGGAATTTCACATCTGTCTGAGCCAACCTTTTACTTTTCGGTGTACTAATGCAGGTCATATTTTTTGGCCCTGTATTCGAACACGGTTACAACTTGCAATTCTGACACCAAACCATTTTAAATCTTCCCTACCAGCTACATGCCCAAATGTAAGTTTTGTATTTATTCTTAAGTGAAAACCCAGACTGGGGCACTGTAGACATGCCTCTGGTGGCTTTGGCTTGAATAGGGGTGCTGTGTTGCTGTTATCTTTTTGGACCAGCGTGATATCGGCCTCTGTCAGGTGAGACTGCCCTTAGCTCTGCCTTTCACCGCTCTGCTCTGTGTGTGTAAGGGTCAAACCGCATACATGTTCACCCAATGCTTAAACCTGTGTACTCTCTTGCTCAGAAATTGTTACAGCTCGTCCAATTTATTTTTTATAGCGTTTAACATAAGTCAGCATATCTCTTTTACTGTTTACCTCTGTATCCACCTCCACATATGCATACAGTATGGACACGCATAATAACTAGGCTTACACAGCAGAAAATGTGCATCTTAATAAGTGCAGTAATTTTTTATTCAGGTTATTCACTGGGTTCTGTGCAGAGACTCAATTAAACTTCAAAATAAACTGGAGAGCAATTTATCCATGTGTTTGATGGATTATACTGGTTGCTGCATGGATGCTGGCTGCTGCGTCCTCCCTGTTTGGGTTGGGAGTCTTCCTAGATTCACGGTCATTAGTCACGTACAGCTGTTAGACTGTATTGTGCTAAATTACAACTATAAGATACAAATTGGTCATGTAAATTGGTTTTATTTGCGAAAAGAGATGTACGAGTCCAACTTAATCATTGTAATCTCTGAAAACTAGAATTCTTCTTCCCCTTCCTTCCCTGCTGCAAATGATCAGATCAGTGGGCACACTTACATAGCCTGAAAACAACAGATAACTAGAATAATCAGATAACTCAATAATCAGATTTGATTTTAGTGTGTGTTTATGTGCACAAAAGAAATCAGATAATCAAAAACATGTGTTAGTAAATCTATCAATTTTTAGAGTAACAGTTAACATTTTGTCTTTCATTTTTGTCTTTGTTGGATTTGTTTGCCCTTTTTTGCCACAATTTTTCATTGTCAAAAGCTGTGTAAAAATGTGAACAACTGGAAAGAAATCAGATTACTAACATCAGATGTTACATGCTATTTCAGCAATCTCATAACTCCAGAAATCAGACAATAATCAGATTTTTGGTGTGCACACATATCTATTGTTTCAGTGTTAATAACTGTTCTGGTTTAATTTTTCATTATGAGTTACTGATATATTCCTGTTCCTTATGATTATTATGTGCATTCCTTGTTTACTAATAATAAATAATTCCTTCACTCCTTGTACACTATAGGGCTGTTTACTTATTCACTAGAAAACACATTTTACATGAAAAGAGCTCTGACTCAATACAAGGACAATATTTTTCACCCTTGGCTGCTCTTAAAAAGCCACCCTATTCACCAGGAAAACCACAGACCTGTCAACTGAGCAGGTCAGCGTTTCTGTCTATTGCCCTGTACAGTGGGCACACAACATTATAACAGTGTCTGGGAAAGCCTCAACCATTGTATCATATATATTCTATTACAAGGCTGCATCATGTTTAAATATGTATCTTCCCTTCTAAATAAATAAATATTTTATCTCTATATAACCCACTGCACTGTCACATTTGCCTTTTGGTTTCTGACAAAGCAACTGATGTTATCCTCTGCATTGGTTTGCGTTGCTTCATACATCTCCATTATTTAGAGGCTTTCGCTACAGTAACGGTGTGAAATTTCCTCTTGCATGTGGTAAAAGCGCTCTGGGCCTGTTTTCTACACTAGACCTCACATGAAAAGGTGGAGAACAAGCGTGGCCTGCAGGTCTGTGCGAGGCCTGGGGCTTTCCTGCTCACTGCGGCTGGGTTAGACTCCTGGGGACTGGGCTGCTCACATGCGGCAGAGAACCCCCCCGGATGGAGGCGCGGAGGGGGGCACAGCATCACACAGGCTTTTGATTTGGCTTCATAAGAGCAACACTGTGAGAGAGTTGAACCCAAAGACCTTCAAGAAACAGCAGCCATATATAGACACGTTACACCCACATGCGCTCAGCAAGAAAATGAGATGTGTAGTAACAGTTTGGTGCGAAATATCTGATAAATTAATCAATATTTTTAGGAGTTTCCTATCCTTGCAGCATTTGGAGAGCTGTTGTGCAAAACGATCTCCATCTGCCTCCTGTCTTGTCTTTCTCGTGCCTATTTGCATAGTACTATAAAATGGGATCTGAAATTTTGGCGTGTTTGTCTTGTTGGTTTAAAATTGTAAAGAGCTAAATGTTTTTCTACAATTGAAATAATGCTATGTGACAGTGTTGTTGTTGGATAAACTCAAGAGTACAAGATTTGTCCCTGCTCATATCATACAAATAAGAATGCTTTGGGAAAGTAAAAACACAGCATTGATTTAATGATGACATTACATCAGTGTTAGAAGAGTTAAATTTGTATAAATCTGTTTTTATTGCATTTGTGTGATACTTGACTCCACCCAATATACTTTTAAATCAGTTGTGTTTTGGCTGAAGACTGACCTTTGCAGTCCATCACTGCTGTGTTTGTGCACAGGACAAAAGGACACATTTAGATGATCTGACTGAGTCCTCTACAGAGACCCCCTCTCTGTCTCTGTGCAGCTAATTGAATTAGCGGGCGGGTTAACGCTCTGTTCATTAGGCTAATGCTGTGTTGTTTACACACGACTCAATGCTGCAATTAGGACGCCTCCATTTTGGACACTGAACTTGTACACACAGTCCACAATGGCCTGACACGTCCCCTGTCCTCACTGGTGTCACTCTAAAAGCACTGAGCATGTTTGATATTGGATCTATTTATTTATTATTTTTTTTTTACTTTGCTTTTGGACTCAGTGCCTTCGCTTATGTCCTGTCTTATCTTTGTTACCATAGAGCAAGTGCCAATACTGAATTAACTATTTATCAGTGGTAATTAATTATATATTCATTAGCTGTTGGCTGCATATTGTGTACAACATTTTAGCAAAAAATCTATATTATTTACCAACCTGTCCAACTGTCAGATTGGTTTCACCATTAAAGGAATAGTGTTTTGTTCAGACTCTTATTTTAAGTTAGCTTTACCTTTCTTTTTCTGGTTTCTGGTGCACACTGGCCTCACATGTCCCCTGTCCCATCTCATATGCGTCTCCCTGACTGCTTTTCTCTTTCACTCTTGTCTGTTTGGGTCAGTTTGGCTAACCCTGCTCCATCTCTGTCTCTTCAGAGCACCTTCAAGTTCAAGTCAGAGAGTGACATCCACCTGGCAGAGCACCACAAGCAGGTGTTGTACGACGGCAAACTGGCCAACTCCATCTCCTTCACCTACAACGCCAAGGCCACGGACGCACAACTCTGTCTCGAGTCGTCTCCGCGGGAAAACCCCTCCATATTTGTCCACTCGCCACACGCACTCATGCTGCAGGTCAGTTTGCGTGGGTACATATGTGCATACTCATAACCACATGCAATAATGCTGGGGTTCACCTGATTTCAAATGGAGCTGTGTAATATATTGAAATTGAACTGAAATTATGTATTGTATCATCAGTAATGTATTGTACTGTGCAATTAACAAAATATATCTTTCTGGAAAATGTATCTTAAATTTAGACCTGTTCTTGTCTGTTTCCTCTTTCAAATGTCAATGCTCCTCAAAATGTCTCAGTTACATTTTGAAAAGTGCAATCACATTACTTGTCAGAAAAAATCGACTAGATTTTTGTTTTTAAAATTGTCTGTTTTGAGTGTGCAATGAACCTTAAATCTTCCTTTTTATATTCTAATAAAATACTGACTTCCTTTACAGTACATTAATAGCAAGGTAATGAAAGTAAACAGCATGATAACTAAAAGTGATTTATCTTAATCCTTACTTTTACCTGATTTGGAACCAAAATAAGTGGTGACTTAGTAATAATACAGAAATAATAATAAGATATTTAAGAGTGTTAATCCCAGTTAGAATGCTACTACAGTGTAAATCAAAGTGTGACCAAATGACCATTGGGTCACATTCATCATTCATCAAATTTATACATTTAGACTGTAAACATGGTGGTGATTTTAGGTTCAGATAATAAAAAATAGAAAATCCCTCTTTTCATGGACCTTGTATTTGAAAGATGTGTCCTTGAGTGGAGGACTACTTTGATCATTTTAATTAGGGTGATTTTATGCACTTTTAAACACAGTTTCAAAATACACCTACTTTTTTACTTTTAACAATGTTATCATTCACCAAATGAGGCCAATATACCTGGCCCTGCATTTAAGAGCATTAGTATAATTTAGTATTTAGAGCATAAAACATCATTTAAACACGTCAGTGATTAAGGTCCATTAAGAGTTAAGTAGTGGTATATATGGAGCTGAAAGTCCACAGGTGGGCTTTTTGCCTCAAGCAAACATTGATTGCGATCCTGTGAGTTTTACGCCTCATTTACGATAATAGGTAAACCCTATTATCCTTAATGTTGTCCAAGCCTCATCATTTTGGGTTCATACACATATTAAGTTTTGAGGTCCAAGTTTGTTTGCTGTGTCCTAAAATGTGCTCTGATTTAGAAAGCACAATTAAAGAAAAAAAAAACATATTTCATTAAAACAAGACCAGTTATATTCAGTGTGATATCTTTTCAACAGCAAGGTACTTACTATTTCCTTTTCCATTAATCCGTCTTGCTTCTTATGCAGTATGCTTTGTCCTTTATACTCTGTGTCACTATAGAGACAATACAATGCAATACCAGCAGTAAGCTTATTTTAAGAAACACATTTGCTTAAGTTCATGTTAGTTATCTGTCTCTAACAACTAAAGAATACAAAAATAAACTCACTATTTTCCTTTGTGTCTGTCCACAGGATGTAAAGGCCATCGTCACCCACTCCATCCACAGTGCCATTCACTCCATTGGGGGCATCCAGGTGTTGTTCCCTCTTTTCGCTCAGCTCGACTACAAACAGCTCAATGACAGCTCTGTGGATACTACAGTCTGGTATGAGGCCAAAACATGAAAACAAAAGAATATATTTTACTTAAGATAGTTTTGAATGTTTATTTGCATTTTGTCTTTAGCGCCACTCTGCTTGCGTTCCTGGTGGAGCTGTTGAAAAGTTCAGTGGCGATGCAGGAGCAGATGTTGGGCGGAAAGGGCTTCCTGGTGATCGGGTACCTACTGGAGAAGGTCAGGTTTAATGAGCGGCTTTTATAATTGTCCTGGTGATTTTTTTTAGCATTTAGACTAGATCACATTGATAAAAGGTTACAAATTGAGTATATGTTTTAAGTTTCATTTTTTTGTTGAGTAAATAGAGCAATTTAAAGCTGACCTATTATGCAAAATCGACTTTTCAGAGCCTTTAACCATGTTATAGTTGTTTCCCCTCACGATTTACTCCTGCGAAGATGCATTTGGAGTGATTTGTGCATATTTGAGCAATATTTAATTGCTTATTTTCAAGACACCATTTTGCTGATCAGCCTCCATTTTCACCACCACTGATATACGCCCACTGCTGTACTTACTTCATTCTCCAGTTTTATTTTCTTAATTCGTGTAACACGTAGGATTCTGCAGCGTTGCGTAATCATTTCAGTACAAATGTGGCTTGTTAGCATGATAGGTGCCACAAACTCTGTAGGTCTTTTGTAGCGATGCCATTTACCGCTTTAGATGAATATTGAGATTTAAATTGTCTAAATTATAACGTAATGGTCCACGGGTGTCATAGATTATAACTATATAGCTGACTCGAGCACAATAGGTCTTCTTTAAAACAATAATTGAAAAAATATTAACTCTGTAACAATCTTCAGATTTGAAAAAAATACATAATTTTTGTGTATGTACTCAATATTTTCCAAGAATAATTCATTTTGTTCTTGTTTGTTATCACTTGTAAAATGCCTGAGTCACAGCACATTAGTTTTTGGTTGATAGCAATATTGAAATACAAAAGGTGAATTAGTTTTCCCTCCATTTAGCAGCCATTGCCTTTCATCAGCTCTTTTCTAAAATATTTTCTTGTCTCACAGTCGTCCCGCGTCCACATCACCAGAGCAGTCCTGGAGCAGTTTCTGTCTTTTGCCAAATATCTGGACGGTTTGCCCCACGGAGCGCCTCTCCTCAAGCAGCTCTGTGACCACGTCCTGTTCAACGCTGCCATCTGGATCCACACGCCCGCCAAGGTCTGTCCAGCAGCCTAGCGTTCCACACAATATACTGAGATTTTAGCAACAGTTTCATGTTTTATTATGATTTTAAATGCTAATTATAGTTCACATTGGTCACATTAATAGGTTCATTGGATCCAGCCTTCATAATTTATTTAAACAAGCAGATATGTTTTTGACTAGACTAAGGTTCACATACACCCCTGGTTTAGTCCTATTTGGAGCATTGTCATTTTTCTCAATGGAGACAAACAGATAATGCTACCTGGCCAAATGACAGGTCAGCTCTTTGGAGAGGAGTCCATGTTCACAGGAAGAATCAAATGTATTTTTTCAAGGTTTGTTTTCACAGTAAAAACGCCTGTAATTGAAAAAAAAATCTCTATGGAGACAAGCAGGTAGTGGACCCTCAATTCGATGAATAATCTTTAACAATCTTTCATTGTCAAGTAATCTACAGATTTTTTTTGCACATTACCACTGTCAGATAGTGTCCAAAAACACTTTGGTGATCATTATTCATATTTAGGTATTTAGCATATTTTTTTTAGCTTGCAGACGATAGCTTGACGAAAAGCAACAGTCCATGGATCAAACTGACCCCAGCACTTTTATTTCAGGGGTTTTTACGCTACCATGTTAACCCAAGGTAACCTCAATTAATTTCAGTATTGATTTGTTTTCATGTCCTAATTCAAAAAAACTCCCAAGCATCCAGTGATTAAAAAACAGTCTATCAAGAAGAGAGCTGGGAGAGTTGACATGTCTGTGGTCATTGCCCTTTTTAGTAAAGCAACAATGGAATGTAGGTGGACAGGAGCACATCTAATATTGGAGGGGACAGGACAAACTGGACACACAAACACTGAGGCACTGTGACATTTGGATAGACCGGGGGACAGAAGGGAAGAGCAGGCTCCTCCTCCTCACTCTGAACTCAATGTGGCGTTCCCTCAGGGCCAGTCAGACACGAACTGCTATTATTTTTGGCGCTTCCTGACCCCTCATGCCTCCTCAACTCTGCCCTTGCGATATGATTGGCTCTGAGATGCAGCGGCCTCAGTGGCATGTTTAAGATGGAGGAGGAATAAGTGGCTGTAGTCATGATTAAATGGGTGCTACTTCTTACTTCAGAATCATATTACGCAGTGCAAACAAAGTCAACCTACAACTTATGCACATCCAATACTGAAGTTTTTATTGGTTGAAAAGAAATATATTATTTTTACTACTTGTACCACTACTACAGCTAAATTTGGGGTAAAATAAAATACTATGTTTTCCTCCATCTAGATTTTTGGATTTTAGATTGCATTTTTTGGAATGTATTGTACAGTATGACATTAAACTTGTCTTGCCTTTACTGAAGTAAAAGCATTTTAAATGCATTTAATACATGCATACTGTGAGGGAGGGTCACCACTCCACAGATCTGGCCTTCATCTTGGCCTGGCTTATTTAATGCCATAACGTGGAACATTCCAGACTAATACCATCTTCATGGAGACAAGCACGTGACTGATGCCACCTCCAAAAAAACCACACCTTTAAAAAAATAGGGTAGAATACAATATAAAAGAACCCGAGAAAATTACGTATTGTCAGAAAGAGTGACATTAATATACAGGAGGTGTTACAAATGGAAAGAAATAACAGGTATGTAGGTCAGTGTCTTTCAGCCTTTTATGAGTCCCAGCACGCTTTTGCTCTTAGAAAGTTGCGTTGGCACACCACCCACTAGAACATTATCAAATGACACAAATGATTACATTAAACAAATGGCTGAATACCCAACTCAAATAGAACACTTTTTCCAAGGCACATCTGGCAATCCCTCAAGGTACTCTAGTGTTCCCCAGCAGACTAGTTAAAACCAGTGATGTAGGTAATATTATCTAAATTGTTTGAAATGATCAAGCTAGATATTTATAAAAACACAGCCTATATCAAAGGTGTCCAACATTTTTTCACTGAAGGCCAAATCTTGAAACATATTTGAAGTGGAGGGCAAAAGACTCAATACTGTGGATCATTCAGATGGCTGCATTTAAGATACCTTTGACAGAGCCACCATGTCTTTATTTAGGCTTGAAACATCAATTTGAGGTCTATGTTATTATTGAGGGTTGGGTGATAGAATTTTTGCTGTAAAAATGCCTGCTTATGATCAATTGGTCCATTTCAGCAGAAGACCTGAGGGCCAATAAAAATTTGTTTGAGGGCCACATTTGAAACGCAGACCATAGTTTGGACACCCCTGGCCTAGATTAAACAAAATCTGTTGTGGACTAGGTCTAACTCCTAGATGACCCCTCTTGTACAGTTAATTACAATGAAGCCCACCACAATGCGTTTTCACAGCACATGGCAATAGAAATAATGAGGACAAACTGAGCAACACTCATAAAAATGCCCTAATCCTTTAATCTCCCTTTCCCTGAACCACTGTGCTCTGTTATTATTGTCTACTCTGGACATATTATCACCTTCAGAGCTGGCGTGGAAAAGCCTACACCATATCCAGCACTTAATTAAAGAAATGCACTTCGGCAAGGCGTATCAAAACAACATTAACATCAACACAGAAGAAGAAGGTCCATGTTTATTACACTGTATTTTAAGTGGACAGGCAATATGGTCTTTGTTATAACCATAGTCTAATGTAGCTAAATTCTTTATCTAATTTGGATATTTAAAAAAAAAAGTTGACTTTAAACAACAATTCAAATTTTTTTTATGTTATGTAATTGTTTCCATTTGAAGCGGACAATTAAAATATAAAATTTGCTTTGGATCAACATGCAATATTTAAATGGAATAGTGTTTATTGTTCATTTTGTAAAACTCTTTCAGAAATCTTTGCTATATTAGTTTACTTAGTTAGAGTTTCTGTCTATAAAGGGAACACAGCAACACCTGATGTAATTTTTTGAGTATTCCTCTCACTCTTCCAATCAGTATGTAAATCACCGCTCAATTTGAGTTAGATCATTAACCATGGCCAAAATGAAAAAGCCAAAAACAAGACTTTTCAACTCTCCTTAGTAAATGAGGTGTGATGTGCCCTGGCTTTAGCACTTCACTAATTTTATCGGCTTAAACAGAAATACCTCGTTAAGAGCGGTCCTTCGTGTTGCGGACGCTGTTAACGAGCTTCGAGATTTGTGTGTCCGATCTTGTATCTGCAAAAGAGAGAATTGTTAAGAAGATGCGCAGAAGAGTGGGGAGAGAAAAGTAGGGGGAAAAAAGCAAATGAACGTTGTAGAAAGGCCCGTTGAAAATGTCAGCGCTGTGTAGGAGCTGCTCAGATGAGGGCTGGCTGCTCGAGGCGTAGGAACATCAAACGCAATACAAAACAGTTGGCACTAGTGCTGTGAGGGAAGCTTTCTCTCCGTCTCCTGTGGCAATAAAACGTATCTTTTGTTTAAACGTCATAAACACACAGATGATTTGTTTCTCAGAGTCTGTCGTCGTCTTGTAAATGTACTTCCTGTCAATAGCGTTCCAGCTGTCTCTCTACACCTACTTATCGGCACAGTTTATTGAGACTGCCACAATCTATACCACTATCTGCTCCCACCGGGTATATGTCTGAGCTGTACTGCACAATCTATTTCTACTCTGGATATTTGTTCAGTACTTTTGGCACACTGTTACCATTCTCCCTACAAGGCATACGACTGCATTAAAGTTATTGTCTTTCGCAAATGCATTCTGTAAACACTTCTCTTGATGAAGCCCTAGTGTGAAAAAATATATAATTATAAAGGATAAGGATCAGACTATTTGGTAAAATTGATACTCATGATAGTTCTGGTCACAGTAAGAACAAAAAATAATAATCATGACCATTTTAGAAAAAAATAAAAATAAAAATTATTCAGTCTATACTCCAGGTGTAGGATGCAGTGTAATTGAAAATGAATTAAAATGTTTACATTTGTTTCATCATTATGTGAATAACTTTAAATTCAATTGCAATGTTTCTTCTTACAATAATTATAAATAAAAATAAATATAGCTCTGAAATGCTGTAGTGTAATCCCATTTTGAGACTTTGTGTAACACTTTCCAAGAAGCTAGAAACTTTTAGCTTGTATGTACTCTCTACTTATCTTGTCAGTCACCACAATTTTAATAAATTATACACTCACTGGAAGTGCTAGGTGCTTTCTTATTATACTTTTTGCATCAACAATGCCTACTTGTTTGTGCCGCCTAAAACATCTCAAAAAAAGAAAGAAGAAAAAAAGTCTGATTGAGCTGGTGATGATGTCTTTCTCACAGAAAAAAAATATTCTTTTCTCTCTTTGTATTGAATCCACTGTCCTCTGTCCCCCAGGTTCAGCTGTCCCTCTACACATACTTATCCTCGGAGTTCATTGGGACCGCCACCATCTACACGACCATCCGCAGAGTGGGCACGGTGCTGCAGCTCATGCACACTCTCAAATACTACTACTGGGCCATCAACCCGCTGGAGTGCAGTGGCATCTCCCCCAAAGGCCTGGGTACGGCTCCTCACGCATACGGTCTTGTAATTACACAACACCATCCAAAAACCGCCCCAGAGACACAGCAAGACATCCATGCATCCACTACATCTGTGTCTATAGTGTCTGTAGTGAATAGAGAGGCACAAGCCATGACCTTTGATGTTTAATGCATGATAATGTAATAGTACAAGGCCCTCTCAGCTCTGTAAGGACTCTGTGGAGAGGCATGCTTGAATATTTAGTTTCCTTGGAGATGCTGTTAGTTTAGTTATAGTATAAATCAGATGTATGCAATACACCAACTCACTAATGAGCCTTCACAAGGCTCATCCATATGTGTTTTTATGTAGGATTTCATAGTTTCCCATTACTGGGTATAGATCATTGTAAGTCATGCGTAAAGTCCTGGGATATACTTCAGCTTGATTGAGCTTAAATTGAATAGCCTTGTGTTATTACATGTTTTTCTTATTAGGTCATCCAGTCTCATTTCCATGTTAGTTTGAATAGAGTATTTTTGTTCATTTTAAGTATACAAAAATGTACATGTAGGTATTTTTCCCTTTGACACATCATAATATATCTTCTTGTTAAGTATGTCTGATGCAAGTTACTCTTGGTATTACTTACTTACTTCAGTCTTCAGTTTCCCTCATATTTTTCATCTTTTAAAACACAATGCAGATTAGACAAGTGGGGCAGAACGAAGGCTTTCAGAACATGATTCACTTAATATTTTTCATTATTATATCTGCACACCCATAAACTAGAACACCCAAACTAGAGAATATACATGTAGGTGGAATAAGCACCATTTCTTTTCAGTCCACACTTCTATCTTCAACAGTGAAATTGTGCACCGTGTTTTGTAGGTCTTGCCTTTGTTACCTAGCAGCCAAAATCACATTAAGCTCTCCAGGGGAGATGTATGCTGCTATGCTGCTAATTTACACTGCAATTGGGGAAATAAAACAGGACCTCTCTCTGTCTTTGTACTCTTACTATAATGTATTGACTATTTGAGGTTACTCTCCTCTGCACTTTTCAAGTGCTTTCTTAGGAGAGGCTACAATAAATTTGATATTTTCAGCTTTGCTGTACCTGTAGTATTAGTACTGAGATTAGTAGTAGTTGTAGTTGTGGTAGTAGTTGTGGTAGTATTTGTAGTAGTAGTTGTAGTAGTAATTGTAGTAGTAGTTGTAGTAGTTGTAGTAGTTGTAGTTGTTGTTGTATTGTATTGTGGTTGTGTGTTTTGTAGACACTGACATCAAATATTTTTTGATATGCAAAATCACAGCTAAACCTGTAATTGCTATCCTCACATAGTAGTAGTTTTAATACATAAATCTTTAGTTTTTTGGCTTGATAACTCTTTATGATGCAAACCAACCAAGCATCAAGAACAAGTTGTTGAAGACAAACTGTTAAAGCTCTTTTTGCTGTGCTTGGGATCTTGCACAAATGAATGTACTAGACTCTCAAATTCTCAGTTTTATAATGCAGTGCCAAAGCAGACTGAGAATATTTAGTAATTGAGAAAGACCAAAACCACAGCCCCCAGTCATCCAATAAGGGCCTAAAAAGGTTGAAAGAGGCCTAATCATCCTGCTCCCCGGACCCGTCACTAACGAGGAAGTCCGCATCCTCGGTTACCATGGCAATAGAGCGATTTGATTGACAGCTCTGAGTGGAGCTTTTGGAATTTCTAATCAACTGCTTTTCTGGGGTGGCAGGCTTCCCCCGTCCTCTCTTCTGTTTGGTGATATTGGTGTTCCACTGCTGGGATTTAGCCCCATTAAAGACGGGAGCAGCAATTAGCCCGAGACACATACTGATAGACTTTAACACTCCAAGCTATTTCTGGGTTTATATGGCTGCCAGTTAAAGCGTTTGAATCAGCTGTAAGTGTGCATAGATTCAATTTGCATAGTAATAGAAAGACCATTTAACATAAGCTTATGGGATAAAGGAAGGTATAGTCAGTCTAATTTGACGAGACTGGATCAAAGCGGTAGACATATTTTTATTGCACAGTTTGGCTCTCTGTTGCTTTTTAAAATGCTTGATAAAATAAATGTGTTATCTTTTTTAATAACAGCTTGAGTGTGCCCTGTGCGCTGTGTACCTTTTTCCTTCAAGAGGATTTGGGAGTTTGGGCAGATGAGTCATCGTAATCAAACAGAAATGGTTTCTGAAGCTTGGTACACCAGCGTGCTCTAACCAGGCGTTAAGCTGTGTAAAAGTGTTACAAACAGCAATGTTTAAGGACCTATGACAGCGTGTGGAAATAAAGCAGGTCTAAGTTACTTTATGAATGCTGGATTAGGAGGAGTGGTAGTAGTTAGGGTTGCACTATTCATTGCAATCGAAATCCCAATTTAAATGAATGCAATTAGCAAATCGCAGAAGCTATAATTTTTAAAGTATAATTTTCTGTCTTACACAACATAATAATAGCCTGTCTTACACAATATCCTGTCTTATTCTGCATAAAAACATGTTCTAAAATGTGATTCTTGTAGGAGTTTGCAGAGTTAATTTCAGATTTCACATTTAAATATGAACTTTGAGCAGGATCGTATTTTTAAAGCATAAATTGCAAATCTATAAGCAATTGCAATCATGCAGCTCTAGTAGTATTAGATGGTTGTAGTAGTGGTAGTGGTAGTGGTGGTGGTGGCTGTAATTTTTCATAATTCTGAAACCCATGAGTACAAGTCGTTAGTATTTTATAAGCAGTAACAATAGTAGCATCCCATATTTAAATTAGTGATGTTAGTTTATAAAAATTATTATAATAAAAAACCTAATATATTAAAACTAAACGTCTATTGTTTATTGGGGTAATTTATATAAAATAATTGTCAACAAGTGATTTCCAGCTTAAAGTGGAGCCACATGTCACTATGTTTCTCTTCTCTGCTTTGACAGCCTCCTAAATAGGTGTGATGGATGGTGTGTGAGTCCCTGTCCCATCGCTGTGTAGCACCTGACAGACAGGTGACACATCACATGGGGCCCCCTGTCTCATGTTTTGGCCCCGAACCGCTCAGATAAACCCTCCCTCTCCAATCTGATCCTGGGTCAGCCCTCCGTGACAGTAATAAAAAGGCATAAGGCATCATATCTCCCATCCCAGCTGCCTGCTCTGCCCTGTGCTGCAGTATATGTGAGTCGTGGTCAGATAGAGCTCAGAGGACATGGTTTTATTTAGCGTACTATAAAAGCTGTTTGCAATCGAGTGAGTTCTCCTTTGTTGCTTGCATAAAATAGGGCCAATAGAAACGCACTGACGCAGCAAAGGGAGGAGCAGAGAATGCAAGCTGGACATTGTTAACATTTATTGGATCTTGTGAAACTAACAAGCTTCAGGGATGAAATAGATATCCCAGTTCTTACTTGTAATCATTTGATTTGCAAGTATATAAAATGTTTTCACCTGTGTACTCACTATTACTACTGATATTACCTCCAGTACTCCCACTACTACAAATACTCCTAATGCTGGAACTGCTAAGATGTATACAGTATACTAGTAAACAGCCTATTCTCTTACCTCTATTGTAATGATACTACTGTCATGTGCTAGTATTGCTCAAGCTAGTACTACTGCTCCTGCAAGTATTTAATTGTGTTTGATGTGTGCAACTTTAGAAGAAACTTAAAAATTAGCAAATAACAAGCTCCAGTAATAGAAGCTTTTACTGCTAAGAAAAAAAATGTGCTAATGTTTTACAGCCCTAGAGTAGATTCAGTTCTGAAGCTTCGTAATTAAATTAAAAGTAAATTATTTTTCAGCTTTTAATGGAACATTCACTGTCCTTGTTTAATGGGATGCTTTTACACAGAATATATTACACTGCATCAGATAATTATTTGTTATAATAGAAAATTAAAAAGATGATTAGAAATTCAAACAATACTTAATTTGCATTCACATGTAAAAAAAATATTTTAACGGCAAAAAAGATTTCATCCCTTTCCCAATTAGTTTATTGTGTAAACTGTATACTATTTACCGTAAATAACACTTCTGGTGGATAGTCCGCCACTTGTCTACATGGCTTTGGCTGCAATGTTCCACAGTATGGCATTAAACCTATCTCAGTAAATCTATCTCAGTGAAGACTATTGGACTGTCATGATATCTATGAAAACAAATTTACTTCTGGGGACGATAAAGTCATCTATTCATCTAGTTTAATGCTACACTGTGTAACATTTCAAAGTAATGCCATCTGAAGCCAATGCCAGACTCTCCATCAGAAAAAGTTACACTGTGGATCTTCAAGGACCTGCAAACAACTTCAGTTTGATGACTTAGTTTACAAGAAGTGTCAAAAAGAATATGTCCATGTATCAAAAGTTGAGTGAAGAGAAGCCACAGATGAGATACTGCCTTTTTACACTTTTTATGGTTTATAGTTTGACCACGAGGCAGGTTGATAAATCGCATTTTAAAGCAGATGTGTCGGATGAGAGTGGCAGTTTGGATAATTGAGAATGTCCGTCATATTTTGGTAAACTGCCATGTCTTTACAGTAATGATTAAATTAGTACATCAATAAAATATCCAGCATGCACTCGCACTAATACAGGCAGTGATTTATGATAAAATGTTGTGTCATACTCTGTGTGTATGTGCTTAGTCAAAACACAATACCTGATATCGTGTTGTTTATACAGGTGATGGTTATAATGCCTAAATATTGTGTAATTTGTTCAGTGAGGGCCTGGGTAAAAAATATGTTAGCTAGTGAAAAAATAGTCAATTATGGCTTATGGAATTCATTTACAAATGTAGGCAAAGATATTTTCAGGTCTTGTGATAGCGCTGTTCTAGTCCTCGATCCATTTATGCAACTGTGCAATTAGAAAAGTAAGAGGATTTTGTCATATGCAGTTTGAGTGACCGGTTAATTTCTTACATTGCTATCTTCAACATTACCTTAGAAGAATATCTTTTTTCCATGAATAAGGAATATAAAGAATATGGAGAATATGGTTGAGAATAAGGTCTTAAGTAATGTAGAATTCTTTTGTGCCACCATAGTCTGATCAGGATCTAAGGGAAACACTGTTGTTAATACTGAATGAATCATATTTGAAGTTTTGCATTTTTAATTGTATACAGTTTTTAATTAAAGTCCATCTCACAACACTGTATCCATGCCTTGGCCTCTCAGGATGTTTTGTATTTTTTGTTTTTGCATATTTGACCATAAAACACTGTTCTTTGTCCACATCCCTCTTAAAAACACTCAAGCGTTTTGCACCTTTCAAAGTAATTGTTTTGTGTTTGCTCAGATGGACCGCGGCCGACTCAAAAGGAGATCATCTCACTGCGGGCCTTCATGCTGCTCTTCCTCAAGCAGCTCATTCTGAAGGTACAGTGTTTTTAAAGTGTTTTTCAGCTCTGAGTTTGTGTGCTGGGAAACAGAGCAGAGAATGACTTTGCTCCTGTAGTTTTTCACGCCGCGGGGAGCAAACGGTCTAATCTCAAATGTGTGTGGAGAATCAAATTATAGATCAGTGGCTCGAGTTAAGCACAGCAGCCCTTGTGTTGGTGTGAACTCCTATTGATTTAGTCATGCATTTACATGTATTTACTTATCTTTGTGTCTGTATCTCTGCCTGGGTTAAGGTGCTGTATCCAAGGACACAATTAACAAAGTCATTTGAGGCTAATTAGATCTAATAATATGCTCCAATCTTGTAAACAGTACAAAACTATTTGGCTTCTCTGCCTCTTATTTTCGTATTTTTTGCACACAACAGAGGACATTTCATTGTTAAAAGTACAATTATTATATTGCGTAAATCATATGTCCATTGTGTACTGGTAATGGGGCTTAGGAGAAAGGGATTTTTATCACAATATAGATAATTTACTGCATTCAAAAGAAACAAACTCAATTACTTTCTTTGTTCTTTCTCATAGTATATAATAATAGAGAATAGTTCACAGTTGTAACTATATTTAAATTTTTACTCAAGATAATTTGTACATTTAAGAGGTCATAAGAGGTTGTTTGTGTGGTATAATTGAAGTCACAATGGAATGAGCGCGATGGAAAAGCATTTTGTATGTCTTTTCTATACTGACTGATTATAAAATCTTCTTTGTTTACTTCCAGGACCGAGGAGTAAAGGAGGATGAGCTGCAGAGCATCCTGAACTACCTGTTGACGATGCATGAGGTAAGGCAGCCCACATCTTTTTAGAATGACCAAAAAGAGAAAGTGTGTCTATCCATCTTCCACCGCATGACCGCCCAAACGCACATTATAATTTGTGGGCTGGAGTTATGGTCCACTTAAACAAGCGCGGCGGTGGCGAGTGTGAGTCAGCCAGGATCCTGTGACAGCATGAAAAATAGCAGAACAATGGACTGAACAGTACTCTTCCCAACAATTATATCTATTCTGGCTGCGCCCATGCCACCTGCTCCTCTGCAATCACGACATGTCCAGCAAAACATAGCTCTTGACCTCCATTTCTGTGTCCCACATGTATAGAACCGGCCAGTACAGAACCCTCCAGTACAGAACCCACATATACAGAACCCTCTAGTACAGAACCCACCTTTAAAACTGTGTCTGTTTTTAGGACGAGAATATCCACGATGTCCTCCAGCTGCTTGTGGCTCTTATGTCCGAACACCCGGCCTCCATGATCCCTGCTTTTGACCAGAGGAACGGAATAAGGTAAAGCTTTATATGTGCTATGTGTTTGTTAAAGGTGCACTATGTAACTTTTCAGGTGGGGGTATCTGCCAGCGACTTGTCTCCATGGAGATGTTATTGCTTTACGTGGAATGTTCCTTAGTATAGCATTAAACTTGTATATCTTGCATGTGTTCAATTACAGTTTTCAATATTAAAAAAAAAAAAAAACCTTGAAAAACATGTATTTATAGTGGGATCACCTCTCCGCAGAACTCACCTGTAATGTGGTCTGATAACATAATTTGTGTGTTTTGCATTTCTCCATGGGGACAATAATGTTGCAGACCCTCTACCACAGATTGCCATAGTGGTAGTACACATTTAAAATAAATTATAATATGGGCTAGTATAGTATAATGTGTATGCTATTATGTTATTATATTTGGCTTGTTAACCAGTGGCAACAACTGCTCAGTGCTGTAGATTGTTGTGACCTTAGGCAAGGCACTTACCTACCTTTTTATGTTTATGAACATAATATTTGATGAATAATGCATAAAATGGTACAGACACTTTCATCATCTGCAATGGCACTATAAGACTAATGCATTACTATTAACAAAACAAACCTTGCACAAAATGTTCCACAGAAAATAGATTTTGCTTATCAAATTACTGAAGTGAACTTACTCTGTCACTGTTTTGAAATTATCCTTTTTTTTTCAATGGCATTTTAAACACTGTGTGCATATTGTTACATACAAACAGAAACTCAAGCTGCGTTTTCTACTCTGAAAGCTTCTCACTGCTTAAGTATTGTCCAAAAACCAAACGCCACACAGAGATATGTCTTATGTTGCCATGGAGACTGTTGTGTTGCCAGAGAACAAGAAAACGACATAATTTCCCCGTTGTGTCCTCTGAGCGGGCGGCTTTGAAGAAAACGCTGCAGTCAGCACAGACCCTGTTAGCTCTAACTTTGAGGCTTCACTTTGACTTTGAGCATCTCACTGTGGATCCCGTGTAATTCCTGGATAACACGAAGTTTCATTTTGTTCTTTTTATCTAAAATGAAAAATGAAAATGACATAAATATGGATGTGTTTTGTCCTTTTTAGAGTGATCTGCAAACTTCTGGCCTCAAAGAGTGAGAGCATCCGAGTGCAAGCTCTCAAAGTCCTGGGATACTTCCTCAAGCATCTGGGACACAAGTCAGTACTTTTATATATATATATTTTTTTATCCAATCCAACAAAGAATAACTGCTAAATCCTCCCTTTCTTTTTGTTATAGTTGCTAAAACAGTTATCAAAATGTACTGAACTTGAATATTCTCTTCCCCTTGCCTTTGGGTGTTCATTGTCATTCTATTCAGAAAATCCTAATCCCAAGTGATTTAACATAACATTACCTTTAATCTATACAGTCCCCTGTCACAGGCTCTAATACTATGCATAACATTAAGATTTTAATTAAAATACTCTTGACAGATGGGACGCTTCAGTAGCTCACCTGGTACAGCCCACACCACAGTGTTCTAATTCCCATTATGCAAAAAAACTGATTTAGGCCTTTCCTCCGCTCTTTATTTATTCATGTTATATTCATTCATTATGTGGTAGATTCATATGTACAGTGCACAGAGCAAAGAATCAACCTATAGCGTTTAATTGAGTAGAGCAGCCAGTCAAAATGCAGATTTCGTGGTTTGGTTGAGTAGACTTTAGATACAGAAATACACGCTTTTAAAACAACCAATTGATTTACAGCTTATTAGGGCTGTAGGATTTTGAGGAAAAAATATAGTATGCAACATTTCAGACAAGTATTTTGATTTTGATTAGATTTGCAGTTTATGTTTCCAGTCAGGTTTCAGTTCATAGAGTTCATCTTGAAGCGTAACATTTGATTGAAGATTGCAAATATGAACTGCTAAGTTAATACAAGAACCCCGTACATTCTTGTTTGCAGAGTTAATGCTTTGACCTAAAATAGTTACAAATTCTTACAACTGATTTTATTTGTTATTATTTCTACCACTTACAAACCATAAGCATCATTATTATTGCAGTATATCTCTAGCTAATAAATGTATGCTTTCATGTATTTGTTTTTCAATAGTTGATTCAGTGTAATTGACATTTGCGTGGAAAACACTCAGCAAGAACGTAGGCAATTTCTAGTCCAAGGTCATTCCTATTAGCAGCCTTTAATTCCTGAGCGGAGAGCATCGCAGTAAAACTAATTACTACAACAGTCTTTTCCGTGTGCCTCCGTAGAGTAGTTTGTTTTTGTGTTTGCAGAGGTAATGCCTTCATGATGGCATCCGGGCGGGATAATCAAACTGACAGGGAGGAGCTAGTCTTGATGAACAACAGGGAAGGTTATGGGGATTTGGGTATTATCCCTTGTGGCAAGAACCTCTCAGCTGCACGGCATGGGAGCGGTTTAGAGCAGCGCACCTGAGCCCTCGCAAATTCAGTCCCCCCACTTAGTGAACATCTGCTGCCCGCCATTGTCCCGGAGAGCTGCCTCTTTAAGTTTGCATGTCTGCTTTGTAACAAGACAGTGTAAATATAAATATGGGATTTGGTACATAAAGACAGAGTAAGGTCAAAGTATCAATACTGACAAAGTAAAATAGTATTTCAGCAACTATCTGTACATTTAAGAGAGTTAAAGATGAACAGGCACCATATGCAATCCCACATGTATTCACTGTTAGACAATTACCATAGAGATAAGTGGATTTTTTTACAAATTTTATAACCAGTTACACATCTCAAAATGAACAGATTGCTTTAATTTCATCTTAAAGCAATATAATATTACTAAATGCAAAAATATTATGATCAAGTTGAAATCATGACCTAGCCTAAGTAGACTACCCAGTTAAAGATCTGCTACCTGCTTTTCTCCATGCAGATATTATTGCTTTACCTGGAATGTTCCATGGTATGACTTTAAACATGTATATCTAGGGTTTATTCATTATGGGTGTTTCTATTGCTCAAAAATACAGTCATTCTTTCTGTGAATAGGAGTGACTGTGGAACATTCTAGGCAAAGCAATGACATTTCCATGGAGACAAGCAGTTGGTGGACCCTCCACTAGAATTGTTAATCAGTGCACTTTTAAACTACCACATCTTTGTCTGTATAGTGAATAATACGTAGGTTATTTGAACTGATGTGAAGTATGTCAATATGGCATCATGCAAGAATAAAATTTGCAAACTAAACGCAGATTAAGTTAGTTGGATTTGTTAATTAAAATCAGTTTTTCATCTAATTAAGCCATGCAAACTGGTATAAGTTCCTTCATGAAATGCTAATGGTTATCAAATGTCAACACAACAGAATCTTAACATGAGATTCAATTACTTTACAATTAGAGATTTAAATAAGCAACTTCGTAGACTGATTGAAAAAGTAATTAAAATCTCACTTCTAAGGCAAGTTCCAGCTGTGATGTCGCCCATGGCTGATGTCAAATTTGCTGTTATTTGTATGATTCTGATTATTATTTTAAAGATTTTCTGTCCTTACTTAAGATTTTTAAAAATGATTTATTTATTACTTTTATTATAAAAAGTAAAAACAACTACAGTTTGACGCAGCATGCAATAATTGTGCCATTAGTAATTAAAATAAATAAACCCAGAAACTCTGTTTGCTAGACATACCAAAAGTCGTATTTTTTTGTACAAAGAGTCCCTAATTGTTTAATGGGACCTATTAGATACCACATCGTGAGTATTTGTTAGACACCACAAATGGAGCAGTTATGTAAGCTTTTGGACCAACCACAACATATAAATGTGATTTTCAGGATGCTTGCTCTTAAACTGTATAGTATATACATTTATAGGAACAAATACCATCTTAATTTACATCTTATAATTTTCATATTGTCTTTTATTGAATTTTTAAAATTGTATAATTTTGCTTTAAACTTCTAGATATTGATTAGCTCCCCAAAGGTATCAGAAATGATGCACTGTTCACGGACTCCTATTGTCGTATTATAAACCAGGAATTGTACTGGTATCTTTCACTGCCTCTTTTGACAACAAATATGTCTTTCAGTAATGACGATGCTCATATTTGTGCGTTTTTGTGTGTGTGATTTTACAGGAGGAAGGTGGAGATCATGCACACCCACAGCCTGTTCACTCTGCTGGGGGAGAGGCTCATGATGCATACCAACACTGTGTCCATCACCACCTACAACACCCTCTACGAGGTACGCCTGGCACCCAGTCAGGTTTCCATGGTGACGCCGTGCTGTCCGTTTGAGATGACATAATTAAAGTGGCCGTCAAGCTTTTTAAATAGGCTTAATTAGAGGCTATGTATTGTTTTTTTGTGTGAGGAAAATAGTCTTATCTGTAAGCTGCATATGGACATAGGGATTCTAATTGAAAGCATAACTCTTTAACAGCACATAACAACTAACATAATTCTAATGCAATATAGGGTTTATTATTCTTATACTATAAATATTTTGTCTTGTTTTTCGCAATTGTTGTCAAGTTTTAAAAAGTAATTAGCCTGAAGCAAGTTTTAGTGTTAAATAAGTTTTCATCAATCATCCAGGAGGCTTTGACAATTTAAAACCAGTTAGATGGCAACTTTTGTTACTATTTGGTGGATACACCTGCATAATGAGAGAACTGTGTGAACACAAGTAAATAAGAAGGTGCATGGCAGTTTTAGCATTAAGTTTATACACATTTTGTATGGGCATAAAACTGCAGTACAAGATCAGCTATTTATTTCAAATGCCCAGTCTCTAAACAGTAACAGTGGGTTAATAGAAGCCAATAGAAACACCTTAAAAGTAACTACTGCATGTATTGATACTCTGCAGTAGCATCATACTGCGGGTGTAATACATGTATCTATTATTGGTGGGTTTCAGAGAGAGAGATTTTCCTATAAATTACTTTGTACTTTGCCAACACATTTCCAAAGGTTAAATTCACAAATGGTAAACCTGGTATTTTCAATTATTCACTAAACCCAAGAACTCACTGTATTACAGAATAATCTTGCATATTAACAATATTCATTTTAGCTGTCCCCTTATCTGTATTAATTAATATTGGCCTACAGAATGGTGTGATGTCATCTGAAACCTAGCAATTGGGTTGGTAAAAGTATAAATAGACCAGGGGCAATGTTGACGTGATGGTTACTGAATGGTGTTTTGGAGAATGGGATCCTATTAAAATGTTAAATGTTAATTAAAAACGTTGATTTTTTTTTCTCCTCAGATTCTGACGGAGCAGGTTTGCACACAGGTCGTCCACAAACCGCACCCGGAGCCCGACTCCACTGTCAAGATCCAAAATCCAAGTGAGTGCACAGACTGTAGCCCTCAAATGTGCTGCGCTCTCACTTTCCTCTGTCAATACTGCACTGTAGATTTAATTCAAGTAAATAAAACCACTAAGCCCATTTTCTCAAGGTGACACAGCTGCTAACTCCCTCTCTTGATCTCTATCACACCTTTGTCCTTTTCTGTAATTCAATTGCACTTTCAAATTTGTTTATGTAATGTGTTCCTGTCCTTACCTTCTTGTTTTACAGTGATTTTGAAGGTAGTGGCGACTCTGCTAAAGAACTCTACTCCCAGTGCAGAGCTGATGGAAGTCCGTAGACTGTTCCTGTCTGATATGATCAAACTCTTCAGTAATAGCCGTGAAAACAGAAGGTAAGTGTATGATAAGTAGTAACACTAACATAATTCAGTACAGTAAAATTAGGCCTTGCGTTTGGTTTGAACTTCATGCCTCAAGTTTTCATTATCTCATTATGAAAACATCAAATCAAAGACACAAACCTAACTTCTACTAATTTGCAATTTAAAGTGCACTATCTAATCTTTTGTTTGGGGGCCCATCACTTGGTTGTTTCTATAAATATGTCATTGCTCTATTTGGAATGTTCCACTGCATGACATTAAAGCTTTATCTTACGTTTAGTCAGTTACAGGTGGTTTTGTAGCTCAAAAATACCTAGAAAAACAGGCATTCTGACTGTGAGCGGGGTCGCCTTTACACAGAGCTGACCTGCAACTTGGTCTAATTTGGTTTCCATGATGGAGAGGTTTAATACTGTACTGTGAAACATTCCAGACAAAGCAATAACTGGAGAAAAGTGTTTAATGGACCCTCAAACAGAAAAGTTACACAATGCACCTTTAATGATGACATAAAAAATACAATTCTCAGGGTTGCTGTGCTCAAAGGCAATATTCAGGGGTATAAAACTTATGAAGTCATTCGCCTTTACTCTACTGGAGTTCACTCACTGAAGTCTGAGGAAGGGCCCGGACCTGACACGTCACATGTGGTGTAGAAAATAAAATGTGAGCTCTCCAAAGTACTGCTGTGCAGATCTTCTTTCTTTCTCTCCAATTTGACTTTACTCTGGGCCCAGCATGCAGGCTCCACAGTATTGGATGTGCGTGCCTCTGACTAAACACAGTTCATTCATTGCACAAAACCCCAAACTTGGACTTTAATAATCCAGAAGGAAAATTTATTGGACAGAGTAGTTCACAAGTGACAATATTAAAATAGTTTTCACTAACAAGCTGCAAATAGAATAGTGACAAAATGTAATATGACTGTAAAACCTGTCACTTTTCAAATTAGCATGTACATTAGCAAGTATAATAAAATAGAATTTCAAAATATATCCAACCTGCTATGCAAGAGGTGAATTAAGGAAAAACAGAGTAAAGATGGAAATGGTAGCTTTCACATGACATATTTTATTTAACAAAATTATGTTAAATGTTAAAGCTGTCAATTCCAAGTCACTGCTGAAGACATTTTCCATTCTAATGACACCAGGGCTCAGTTAATACAATATTATATTCCCAGATTTGCATTCTCTTGTGTTCAGCATTTGGGGATCCTTTGCATCTTGATTGCTTTCAATTAGCTAGCCAGCCATAATGATAATAACCCATCCCTGTTAATCTAATAGCCTTTCTCTTATTACTCTGTCCCCTGTTTCAGATGTCTACTGCAGTGCTCCGTGTGGCAGGACTGGATGTTCTCCCTCGGATACATCAACCCCAAAAACCCAGAGGAGCAGAAGATCACCGAGATGGTCTACAACATCTTTAGGATCCTGCTCTATCACGCCATCAAGTATGAATGGGGAGGATGGAGGGTGTGGGTGGACACTCTCTCCATTGCACACTCCAAGGTAAGTGAAAGCCCAAATGATGCAGGCCTATTCGCGTGCATGTAATTATACGCTTTTATGCTTGTCTTGTCTGGTGTGTGATTGATGCCCTGAGTGATGCTGTACATACTGATTAAGATGAGATGTGTGGGGACTATTGATGAGATCTGACATATTTCTAGACCTGCTTTACTTGAAATCAATTGTAGCAAAAAAGTACTGTATAGATTTCAAAATGTTATGGAATTTATTGACTTTTATTTCCATTTAAGTTATATGTTCAGTATAGCTGACCTTCAAGATTAGCTCAGTGAATACTGTATTGGCTCTTTTCATAATGTATAGTTTATCAGTTATTTATAAATAATATATAATATGTTGATTATGATTTACTGTTGACAAGCAAATTTTCTGTAATTGATGAATTACTACAGAATTACTACACTTCAAAATCAGAATACTTTGCCAAAGAAACATTACATAGTAGAGTTTTGTGATTTTGTTTTAGTTGCTAGGATAGATTCTAAATCTAAATTGGGAAAAAAAAAAATAAAATCCATAGTCAATGATTTTCCTTTTTTTTCCCCCCACAATAAAATGCATTATTACAAGCTTTTAACGTGCACTTTAGACATTTCTAGATACTGACTGAGAATAAATCAGAGGTCACAGCATTTAGTTGCATGTTTAAATTGTAAATGTGTTTTGTTGACCTTACCCGGTTTTCTGCGTGAGAAGGCAAACTGTTTTAAAAACACTATAGGGAACTGCATTAATACAGCTGAACGTACTCGTCTGACCTGGTAGGGCATCATGTGAAAGAGAGAATGGACACTGTATGTTATAAATCAGGCACATATGCACAACCCATGATGTTACTGTATAATCTTATGAAGCTTTTTTCCCTTAAAAAATATTGTTGTGCATTTTTCTACAGTTATTGCTTTGTGCATTGTGCATGTTTTCTTTATGTTGCTAACCTACTTATGTCGCCTCCTCTTGTTTCCTAGGTGACATACGAGGCCCATAAAGAGTACCTGGCTAAGATGTACGAGGAGTACCAGCGTCAGGAGGAGGAGAACATGAAAAAGGGGAAGAAGGGCTCTGTCTCGACCATATCTGGGCTTTCTGCTGCACCTGCTCCGTCAATGGCAACCTGGAAATCGACGATAACTCCCAAACACAAACACCTGAGAGCGAGGCTGAATACAGTGAAACAGCCGGAGCAGACTCAAGAAACTTACTGGCTGATGGGACAGTGAAGCGACCCAATGGTGACGCCCTATCACCCGTGGAGCAGGGTGCAGGGGCAGGGGTGCGGGTGGAAGTGCATGACCTATTAGTGGACATTAAAGCCGAAAAAGTAGAGGCTACAGAGGTGAAACTAGACGACTTGGATCTATCCCCAGAAGCTCTTGGAGGGACAGGGGGTAATGGGACAGGGATGGAGAATGGGCCCCTGGTGGAGGTGGATTCGCTTCTGGACAGTGCGTACTGTGCTGTGGTCCAAAACCTCAACGGGAATCTGGCGCCTAAAGATGACACATCGGGGTCAGGGGTCGGGATTGGAACTGGCCTTGGGCTCTCAGGGGTCACACTGGAGGATGATGGGAACATGGGACCGCTGATTACTCTGGCAGACGAGAAGGACAGCGTACCCAGTAACAATGGCTTTTTATTCAGCAAGGTATGAAAAAAATATATTAATATGACTTGCGTATGCTAAAATCAAAGGCAAAACAGTATATTTGCATACATTTATGATCTTTTTCACGTAAATTCTACTGCCGATGCTAATGCTAACAGTTTTGTATAATTATTAAAAATATATTTTACATAAATTTCAAATATGCTATGGGATAAACACTTTTATGCAATTAAAAAAAATACTTTAATCAACATCAGTAATAAGAAGAAATATGCCTGAGTTTGCGCGATCAGTTTGATTAAGCACCAAATTAACCCTGATATAATCCTTGTTAAGATCTGGCACTACTCAGAAGTCAAATATTATCTTAGGTGGTACTTGTGTGACAAAGTTTGAGAACATGACTCCATCTCTTTCAGGTGGATGAGAAGCTACTCCCCGCTCTGGCCTCCACAGACCCTCTGGTCCTGCCCAGTCCGGACCAGCCCGGCTCCGGCTCGGTCCCCGCCCACACGTCCAGCGCCAGCGATGACCTGAGCCTGCTCGCCCACATGACCAGCTGCGGGTCCGACCTCACGCACAGTCACGCCCCCGGAGAGCTCCCAGAGGACGGACCCTTCAAAATCCAGAGTCCCCTGGCGGATATAAGCTCCATTGCAGAGGCCGAGAGTCAAGCGCATGGGACCAGACCGGACTTTCCTGAGGGGGAGGGGACGTCTGGGGCAGAGGGTGATAGCGGCGGGCTCAAAACTGGAGGTGGAGATACGGCCAGCACTACCTCCGATACTGAGAGGTCTGATGATGGGAAGGATAAGGACACCAAAAAGATTCAAACAACTGCCACAACCCAGGTTTGTACATGCATGTAAAAAATAAGGAGGTTCTCAAATGGTGAGATCTTACTTCTTCATGAGGTGTTTAGAAGTATTTGAGCTTTTGTATTTTTCCTTTTCTGTGCAACTTCTTCTTTGATGGTGTTTAAATTTAATGCATCCACTATCCATACTCCTTCTATAGTCCTTGTTTTTGACTGATAAGTCAAAAACAATAGATAAGTCTGATGAATGTGTTGACCTTATTTTAAATACAATTTTCCATTTAGTCGGCCCGTATTGCTTTAATTTAATATGGTATTGAAAGAGAAATAGTTTCTGAGGTAATGCTTGTGAAATATTTTCCTATTACTGTAGTATGGGTTATGTGCAGTTTTCAGTTAAAGCTATTTTTCAAATCTTTTCCATTTTTCAGGCACTCCACGGTCGCACTGCAGCCCAGTTGGAGAGGGACTTGCGAGTAGATTTGGGTTTTAGGGGGATGCCCATGACAGAGGAGCAGCGGAGACAGTTCAGCCCTGGCCCACGCACAACCATGTTCCGTATCCCAGAATTCAAGTGGTCCCCAATGCACCAGAGATTGCTCACTGACCTGCTGTTTGCCCTGGAGACTGATGTGCATGTGTGGAGGAGGTGAGGGGGAATTTGAATACACGTGAATACTTTTAAATAAATAATTCAATGATCAGGCAGCTGACCATAGTTTAACTATATTCAGTTCCTACATACATCAGTCAGCAAGTGAAGTGATGCTGTAAATATATTTTACTTTCCATGTTTAAATATTTTATACAAGTGATCTGCATTCAACAAGATAACAACTATTCAACCATCCTGAAGCCATCTTTGACTCAATATGAAACAATTAGGCCAAACATTTGACTGCAAGCAAGTCAGTTCTTTAGTTTATGTCATATGATAATCAATACCTTACTGTACACCACTAACAAGATGGTACTATGTGACAGTATGTGATTTAACAAGTATTTGATGCTGTGTTTTTCCCTGCCTGACCAGAGTTTTCCTGTGTTTTCAGCCACTCCACCAAGTCTGTGATGGATTTTGTGAACAGTAATGAAAACATCATCTTTGTGCACAACACCATCCACCTCATTTCTCAGATGGTGGACAACATCATCATCGCCTGTGGAGGCATCCTGCCCCTGCTCTCTGCAGCCACCTCCCCCTCTGTAAGTGGCTCTAACCTGCCCCCATGTGGTAGGAGGGATAACTGCAGGTCATCTAATAAACAACATTACTCTCACTGGTGGTTCAAGTGATTATTAAGATCCTATGAAGACCTCATGCTAGTTTAGTTAGCTCTTTAAATAACTCATATTTACCTCATTGCTATAAATAACCTACAAACACACATTTCAGTAAGCTGGATTCTACCAAATCTCCCCTTTTATTTTTAACAGTTTCTATATAATTTTAACTATTTATTTTAATAGTTTTCTATTTCCTTTCCTCTCTGTGTTCTCTGTGTTCTGTATTTTCTTGTGTGTTTTGTCTGTTTTTGCATGTACAGAGTTCTAAGAGTAGTGCCAACACTGTAAGTTGCAGTATCTTACTATTTTTTCTACCTTTTTATGAATTTTTTGTTTGGGTTTATTTTCCATTGTGACACTAACCCTTGCTGCTTGTTCGGCGCTCATAGTGTTTCTATTTGTTGTGCTCCTTTGCTGCTAAATAATTCTCTTTAAACCTTATGAGCTTTTGTGGGCATGCTCTCAGTTTATTATACTGAGTATATAATTTAGTTTGCTTGAATGGGAATATCTTTACCTATTGGTCGAGCTAGTTAAAATGAACTGTGGGAGAAGCATGAGATTGATCTGAAGTCCTTGGGCGTGTCATCTGCTAAGCCTGTCCCATTTGTATCAACACTAAAGAAGGCAGGAGGAGTCGGACCCCTGAGAGGGTCAAAAGTCGAGGAGGTGAGCCCTCTTCCTGGGGCAGGAGGAGCTGGGGGTGAGGTGCGTAAAAAGCCTGGGACTCCCACATCACTAGAAGAGCTAAGAGCACCAACCCGAGCCCTTATGTCCTCACCGTGTGTGTGTGTTCCTCCCAAATGTCTGTGCTCAGGGCTCTGAGCTGCACCCTCACATCCCTCTGCTTACTCAAGCAGACCGCACTGGTTTGATGCAAGTCTGATCCCTTTCATGCAACCTCTGGGTTTTCAGTGTAGACTCTCAGATATTGGAGAGGACAAGTTTGTGTAGTATTTTTACTATGTGAAAGCACTTTGTGACTGTACTGACAGATGTCCAGTGTCTGCCATTACCTGTCTGTCATCAGGCTGTACTGTGTCGTGGTGAACCTCATGTTGCCAGAATGACCATTGAAGTTTGTATCTCACTGACCCAGCATGATTCAAGGCTGCCTCTTCTGTTTATTGGTGTACACAGTCATGATTACGGTCATGCGAACGTCAATAGAAAATGGGAATGCATAATATTAAGTATTAATGTGTTAGCCTTGAATAACACTGCAGTCTGTGTTTCACTCACAGACGGAGCTGGAGAACATCGAGGCTACACAGGGCATGTCCTCGGAGACAGCGGTCACCTTTCTGTCGCGCCTCATGGCCATGGTGGACGTGCTGGTGTTTGCCAGCTCCCTGAACTTCAGTGAGATCGAGGCCGAGAAGAACATGTCATCTGGAGGCCTGATGAGGCAGTGTCTCAGACTTGGTGTGTTATTCACAAGTAATATGGCGAGCACCAAAGCGTGGCTATGGGCATCTCAAGTTTGCCTTGGCACAAATGTTTTTAGCGTTTATGTAATTTAGTACAAAACAAAACAAAAACAATATAGGTGAGCTTTATGACAGCCTCAACTCCAAAAAGTGCTTCAGTTATTGTGTGAAATATAGAAAAAATATAATACAGAAAAAAATACAAAAAGATAATATAATCAAATATATACACAAGAGTATATTCTTTGTCACTGATTATGTAAGTCAATCTCAATGATTTACTCACACATAAATTGTATGAATATATATGATCTATTGATGCAACCTAACTTATATTATCCTCCTTACCTGTCTTACAGTTTGCTGCGTCGCTGTGAGGAACTGCCTTGAGTGCAGACAGAGGCAGAGAGACCGGAGCTGTAAAACATCTTTAACCAGCAGCAAGTCCCAGGACAGCCTCCACAGTGCCTCCACCACCACCAAGGTACCACACACACACACACACACACACGCATTTATTACTCTATATATGCAGAGGTAAGCAGAGTACCCAGCAGAGTAAAAGAGTTTGGAATAATATTGCTCAAGGATAAGAAGAAGAAGAGGGCAAGAGTAAAAAATATCTGGTTAAAATGTTGCATGAGTACTGAAAACAAGGAAACAACACACAAAATATCAAATTGACAAATGACAAATTATTCTAGTAGATGTTACTGAGTCAAACTCTACTATTAATATACAAACATTACACTCGTCAGTGAGGAGCTATGAACCCAGAATGTTTTGATAACAGGATTTGATAACAGGAGTTGATTATGAGTAAAAGAACACATTACACATTTTTGTTCTGTTAAATACTGGTTATGTGGGGTTACGTGGGGTTCAAGAAAGACCTTTTGTCCCACCACGAGAAGAGCTTAACCGTTGCAATATTGGCCCAGGTTACTCTTTTTATGGTTCTTCGTATGTTGTTAGAAATATTTTGTTCATAATCTCAAACAGCAAAAAGGAGTTTACAGTACTGTACAGAACATCAGTTACAAAATGGAAGACAGACACATTTGATAACACTGTTTTCTTTTCCAGCAGGATCCAGACAGACTTCTGCAGGATGTGGACATCAATCGTCTGCGTGCTGTGGTCTTCAGAGATGTGGTAAGCCATTTTTTTGTCAGTAATGATAAATGCGGCATCTACATTGGCAAAGATATGTATTTAAATGCTATTGTTATATTAATGTGAAGTGTAGATAAGGCAGGTTGTCATAAATTCTCACACACTATAATTAATTACAATATTATGAGCATGTCTCTTTATAGCTCTTAAATATTATAATGTTTTCTGATAATTGGTGCATATGGCTTACTAGATTGATGCTTAATAACAGAGTACATCAAATAAACACATTTCTCTTTGATAATTCAGTAGGACTTTTAAAAGTTCTATATTTTGCAAAATTTACTCTTGTGAGCTTTTATCCATGTTGTTACCTTCTCAAAAACAAACCTGGAGTTGTGTTTTGTTTCATTCACACATGTTTGAATAAATAAGAAAGAGTGGAGCTCTTGCTGTATTACCGCATGACATCTCAAGGTGGAATGTTTGAGAGAAGAACACAGCCTAGATATGCAAGGTTTGTGCGTAAAACGTGTAAATGAAACAAAACAAAACTCCAGGTATGTTTTTGATGAGGAAGCATTATAACATAGATCAGAAAAATTGCGTAATATAGATCCTTTAAAATAGGAATGAGTTACTAAAAACATTTCCTGTGTCATAAATGATACATGTTTGCCTGTAGAGGAACTACCTAAATGTTTTGATAGCATATTCTTTTCTAATGTTTTATCAAAATGGGAGTTTTGTGTGATTGTTTTGAGCAATCATTATCATTTCTATTTTCCAGGATGACAGTAAACAAGCCCAATTCCTCGCTCTTGCTGTCGTCTACTTCATCTCAGTTTTAATGGTCTCTAAATACCGAGACATTTTGGAGCCTCAGCGGGAGATTGGCAGGTCAACCAGCCTATCAGGGAGGAGCATCCGCCATGAGATCAACTCCCCCACAAGTACAGGTGATGTTTCTTTGGCTCTATTTATCACAGTGTTAGCAGCATTAGACTGGGATGCCAGCAATGAGTCACTCTGGAGGCGTTGGTGGTGCTAAAAACAGCAGCTTTGTGGAGATGATGAAATTATTAAAAAGAAAGAAAAAGAAAGACTTGAAAAGCAACTGGAAACGACTGATAAAACGTGTTAAAAATAGACATTATGCTGTATTATTTTGCAGCAAATGAACACAGCATGGCATTTTCACATACTTCTACTGGTGGAAAATCACAATCCAAGAAGCAATCTAATCTGCTTTTATATTAGTACATAAGGAGCAAGTCAAACAAGTAAAAGATGCTAGCAATTAAGGGTGTGCAATCAAATGTATAATTGTGATTTCAATGATTATTCAGTTACAAAAATATCAATATCAAAAATATAATCAGTTACATTTAGTTAATAATGTTAAAAATGAGATGTGCGCTTGTTCTGCTAGTCAAAACCTAGAGCCTAGAACTTACTTTCCTAATCTGTATAGGCTTTTAAACTAGTTTTACAAAACATTACCAATAAATATATTAAGTCTATACATTCTCAAGAGGTTAATTTAATTCTAGAGGCAATATTTTATTTATGAGCCAAATAATGTTGAATTGTCATATTTTTTCCCATAATCGACCAACCCTAGAAGCAATGTTACAGTTTGTCATAATAGCAGTATGATAATAAGTAGAAAGTAATAAATATCTGTGTTAGTAGACCAAAGTAGGTATGGTTTTAGATAGGGGTGTCAAATTATCGCGTTAATTGCGATTAATTAATTACAGTCATATTTAGCGCGTTATGTTTTTTAATCGCGTTAATCTCATTTTTAATCTCTAACTTTAGTGTTTCTGTATGTGAGTTTCTTTATTATAAAACCTGTTTTTATGTGTTGTTGGGACACACACACACACACACACACACACAAAACACATTTATACATTTTTTTATTTCGGTAATTCCACTCATTGCCGGAAAGCCACACAAAACACGCGCAGTAACAGCGTAAGTAAACGTCACGTTAACGTTGGCGGCGTCAGTCGCACAATGGACGAGGTCGAAGAGCCAGTAGAACAGAGTCAGCAGTGCACAGGTAAAAACACATTCGTGTCTTGGAAATTATTCTCCCGACGTGAAATATAAAAGAAAATAACAAATATAATATCGCCTGAAAACAACCTGCATAGGCTCATGATGTCTGCACTACTGTCCTATAGTGACCTGCCACATGAGGGGACACGCACACAAACACACACAAATACACACAAACACACAAACACACACACAAACAAACACACACCTTCATCATCATCATTACCCTGAGAACGCGCGGACCACGTTTCCTTCCGTAGACACTGCGCGGACATCGCTGTCCTCCCGTGAGCCGCGTGTGGACCGTGTTTTCTCGCGTACGCGGCGTAAACCGCGCTTCCTCCTGTGCGCCTGTAAACCAGAACTAACACCAAGACTAAAACCAGGACTAAACCAGGTCTAAACCAGGTCTAAACCAGGTCTAAACCAGGACTAAACCAGGACTAAACCAGAACTAAACCAGGACTAAACCAGGACTAAAACCAGAACTAAAACCAGAACTAAAACCAGGTCTAAACCAGGTCTAAACCAGGTCTAAACCAGGACTAAACCAGGACTAAACCAGGACTAAAACAGGACTAAAACCAGGACTAAAACCAGAACTAAAACCAGAACTAAAACCAGAACTAAAACCAGGTCTAAACCAGGTCTAAACCAGGACTAAACCCAGAACTAAAACCAGGTCTAAACCAGGACTAAACCAGGACTAAACCAGGACTAAAACCAGAACTAAAACCAGGTCTAAACCAGGTCTTAAACCAGGTCTAAACCAGGTCTAAACCAGGTCTAAACCAGGACTAAAACCAGGACTAAAACCAGGACTAAAACCAGGACTAAAACCAGAACTAACACCAGGACTAAAACCAGGATTAATCCATTCCAGGACTAAACTAGGACTAAAGTAGGTCTAAACCAGGACTAAAACCAGTGATCTCATATATAAAGCATTTCTCTATCAATAATATTTTTAATATGGTTAAGGAAAGACTGGACTTTTTATTGTCTTTAAGTAGACAAAAGTTATTATGTTCAGATTTCCTCGTCTTTGCTACTTTACAACAAACAGTTTCTTATTCATGGAGACTTGGGCTCAACAGCCAATTTGGAGAGATTTGTTAAACAATAAATGACTTTATAAAGTCACTTTTTTAAATCTATATTAGTCTTTTGATCTGCCACAATAATGTAATAATGAATTTAAATGAAAATACCTCAAATTGAAGGCTTTTCTCAGCAATTTTTAGGTGAGATTAAAATGAGATTAATTAGATTAATTAATTACAGATCATAATTAATTAATCTCTCAATTTTTTTAATCGCATGACAGCACTAGTTTTAGAGTTAGTTATGTTAGGAGTACAAATGGCAGTATTTACTTTTTACCTTTGCCTATTTTTTTCTGAATACTGCTTGTTTTCTCCTCCTGCAGAGCACCCATCTTCAGCCTTCTCTGACCGAGACAAGCAAACCCCGACACCGGTGGATGACTCTCCCCGGGCCGGGCTGCCGCACACGGACTCGGGCATCGGGGAGGAGGGCCACGTGGCTGGCTCTCTGAACGGGTCAGACATGGGACTTGGCCTTGGCCTGGGGCTGGTGGGGCGAGAGACAGACAGGGACAGGGACGTGGGGGGTGTGGGGAGCAGTAGTACTGACCTGCTGTGTAGTCTGTCGGATGTCCGGAGGTCTCAGGAGAGCCTATTGGACTCGCCTCACAATCCAAGCTCCACCCCCAACTCCAGTCAAGCCCCGCCCTCCTCTATATCCAGCATCAGCCAAACAAACAAAGGCATCAATGTCAAGGTGGGTTCAACAGTGCACTGTTTTGTGTGTTGTATGTCTTTTGTGGATGTTCTTTTTTCTTACATAAAATAGACAGATGCACTTGCTTTGGAACTAGTCTGAGTTTTAATGTAGATTTGATTTGACCCTGGTTTAGTCTAGTCTAAATTTTGTTATTTTTAATTTTAAGTCCCAATTTTGACATGGTGGTTGTGGAAGTGCATTTAGATATTATTTTGTGTTTGTACAACTTTTTATTATGATTGGATTAGGAATTCTAGTAAAAAAAAAAAACAGAAACTACAAATCCCTTTACATGTACAAATTGTAGAAGCCTATATTAGCTTTAGCGTCATTGTAGTACATTGTAGTGGTAGCATGGATTGAATAAGCGTGTATGGTATTTTTTGAAAAAACTTTTTCTCATGTGCACATTAATTTGGTATCCATAAATGTCTGCATGAATGTAAAAATCCCCCATTAGTATTTATTAGACCTCTACATGTATTTTCTTACACATATTTTCCATGTTATTTGCAGGAGATTTTGAAGAGCCTGGTGGCAGCTCCAGTGGATGGTGGAGATCTTGGTCAGGAGTCTGGTCCAACCCCATATCACCCTGACCCCGCCCTAAAAACCCACCCCATGTTACCCATGCAGTTCCACTCCTTCGACAGGTCAGTACTGCACCTATGGGGAAATAAACCATATCCACATCATCAATAAATTATGGCCCATCTACAAAAATCTATATTTACTATCATTGCTTGTATATTAGTGTATTGTGATGGTGAAAGCGATGTTTGTTCTTTGAGAAAACATTGGTGCAGGAATCGACCAGTTGGCCCGCATTTAGACAGTAAAGCTTATTGAACCATGCCATAAAGCTATCTGAACTGCATCATTTACAAGCACACAGTACCTGCCAGAGGTCATATTGATTTTGTTTTTATTTGAACTCTCATATTCCTCGTGGTATTGCTTATAACACATTCAGCTGAAGACCCACCCAGCACTGTAATAACAATGGAGCATAGGCAAGCAGTAAAATATTTTTGGAAAAAATTACTGTAGTTGACTCAGCAGTGTTTTTGGGATTGAAATAGATTTCTTGGACACATTTCTTGGCCAAGGTCATAGCTGTTTTTGGCATATTTTTGGAAGGGAAATCTAAGAAGTAATTGTAGAATCTTACGGGATGCTTGAGCCTGATTTGACTGATACAGTATAACAAAACTTTCACTTAGAAATAAGTTTAATATTAGTCATTTCACCTTTTAGCTTTTACTTCACATTTTATTTTATTTTTTTAAATGAAAGACTATCTCTCACCTTAAGTCTCCACAATTATAATCACATTGAGCTGCACAGGCTTGATTAGAGGTTTTAAATGTCAGCTATGCTGATTTTATTTTTGAACTTGGTTATTAGGAATGACCTACAAACTCTGACTCATTTCTCCACCCTCACCTTCTCGGTGTGGGTTGATATTACACACATGGGAAGAGTAACATTTGAAGCTAACCTAATGAATTAGCACAGGAAGTTAGTGTGAGTCTCACCTGGTTTAATATTCATTTAGTCCTTGCTAATCTAATCATGGTTGTTAATTAAGGCGGGTCCAGTTCCAGATCCCTGTATTATTTTGTTTGCTTTTTGGATTTAAGATGAAGGAATTTATGTTTATTTTACTACATTTTAGATGGTATAGAGATGGAACATAAATCAGTCTATCTATATGAAAATGATTGAAGTTGCTTCTGCAATATCTGGCATAACCCTGCCCATAAAGATTTTTTTTTCTATGAATGTATCAAATCACTGTATTTTTCTCTATATTTCTAATGCAGAAGTGTTGTGATAGTTTTTAATGATCTGTATTTAACATACATATTCCCATAGTGGCTGTATTCTTTTGCATTATTCTAAATGCAGTTTTATGGTAGCCCATAAAGATAAACTACTTTTTTATGGTAACTAACTATACTAAAATATGTTTTGTTTTATCTGAAACAGGAGTGTTGTGGTCCCAGTAAAGAAGCCTCCACCCGGTAGCCTGTCAGTGAACACGGTCGGCACACCAACCACCAGCGGAGCAGCTACACCCGGAAGCACGCCCAACATCTTTGCTGCTGCCACGGCAACGCCTAAGAGCATGATTAACACGACTGGTGAGATATAGCACACTGTACCTGCTTTGTCTACGCCCCGTTCAACTGTTTCCTCTGTGGGCACTATTTTGAGATGTTTGCACCTTATCATCCCAAATCTTATCAGGCAAATCTGCAAACAAGCACCTGCAGAATGACTCAAGTGTATAAGGTGATTTTTAAATGAGGCCAAAACTTTTCTGCTGAAGTTTTCTGTTTATCGTTTTATCTTCTTGTCATTTAAAGGCTGATGTTTCTCAAACTTTGGTATCTGTGCTACTTATAGTACGTGCACTGCTCCTGGAGCTCCTTTATCCATGGTTTAGCCTAATTTTAGTCCTGATTTATAGCCCCATTATAAACCATGTTTTGCCCAAAGATAGGCCAGATATGGTTTGACTGTAGATCTGGTGGTACTCGGAAAGCCAAATATTATTGTGAATTGAGAACCATTGGGCTAGATAAAATAGGATAAAATCTCTTAAGACTAAATCACATATTTATAAATGTTGTTTTGTTGTATTGTTGAAGAAGCTGCTCCTTTTCCATCAGTCTGCCCACATTTCACAATTTTTATTCTACTCCCTTTACTAGTATTGTTTAAAGTTCGGTATTTGGCTATTCTTCTGCCCTCTGCATGAAAAACAGATTACCCAGACCAGTGTCCAGCCTAATAGAAATGAATACTTATTAATGTTTCTGCCGAATTGAATTTAGATGGTATTTGGCCAGACATGCTGCTGCTTGTGTTCTGGTAATGGGCTCGGTTTGTGAAAATAGCTTTGCAATCAATACACGCAATCCACTCAGGGGAACAAATCCCATCCTTTTGCATTATGCATGTATCATACGTACAGTATGTTTGAGGGTGTGCCCAGGAATACAAATCCAACCACAGCTGATGGGCAGGAAGGGCCAAAACTGCTAAAAAGGACAGACCTCCTGATGGTTCTGAGTTTGTGAAACCAAATCTATTTTTTGTTATGTTTTTGTTTTAATTAACACTTGAACACTTGAACAGGAAACAGTGTGAGACAAGGAGCTTGGCATTTAAGTTGATTGATATGAACTGAGTCTCATGTACACGGCATTTTGTCTATCTGGGGAACTGAAAAGACATACAAATTACATACTGCTATTACTACATAGTATCTAAGATCTGTCTTTCTGTCACATTTATTTACTTGCCATCAATTACAGTAATAGATTAAACTATTATAGATAAAGTTAGAATTAAAATGAATCATTGCAATATTGGCTAAAGCAATAATAAATATGATACAAACTAACAATTTAATATTAAGTTTTAGCCTTTCACATTAACTTGATTAATGATTAGTTTTGGTTTTGTCTGTTACATTTTTATTTTAATTGAGTTTTCTAGTAAATGAAGGCATGAATAACATTCATATTTTAATATATGAAATATGAATATGAAATTATTGTGTTAAAAAGTTAATTAACATTTATCAAAACTATATTGCATATTGCAAAATTGTCCAATATCATGCAGCCCTTGAAAGTGTAGAACTCACCACTTGGTTGCTAATATTTTGCCCCCCCCCCCTTTTTATGTGCAGGTGCCACAGACTCTGCCTCTTCCTCCTCCTCCTCCTCTTCATCATTTGTAAATGGTGCGACCAGTAAAAACTTGCCGGCGGTGCAGACAGTCGCCCCGATGCCAGAGGACACTATGGAGAACATGAGGTCAGATCTGCTGTTCCAAAAATACTGTTCAAACTGTCACTATCCTCCCCTTTTCTTTACAATCCCCTCATTTTGTGTTGATTTGTTTGTTTTTCTTGAAATTCAGCCCCTTCCACTTCATTTCACATCTTACTTGTAATTATGACTAGTTTCAACACAAAAAATTATAAAAAATAAAATTTATTTATGCTTTGTTTATGCTAAGTCAACCAGGTTTGTTTCAGTATACTCAATCACAAAAGGATAAAGAAATGATTGCCATTTTAGGTATCTCATTGAGTCATCCTAGTTGCCATAGCAGTAGTATTATGTTTTTAACTAGTAATGTTCTAGCTGTGTGGTTGTGCCCTGTTCGCAGTAATGGTGTGTGTGTCTATATATGGCTGTATTGTGGTTTGTATTGCAGTGCCTATTGTGAAGTGCTGCAGACGTCCCCTGAGTCTTTTAGCTCTGTGACACTCCTGCAGGCTGCCCCTCGAGATGCAGGACAGTGTTTTAGGCAAGGAGACCCCCATCCCCAACCCACGCACCCCCCTAACCCTCCACCCATACACACACGCACACACACATACACACACACAGAGCCTGCTGCACCCAGTCACCTTTAAATGTTAACCGGGCCACACCATGCAAGAAATGACAATTACAATGTCATTTCTAAGATGGATGTTTTACACTAACTTCAAAAAGTCCTGTTTGAACTTGTATTTGCCGATAACTGCTTAAAAGACTTGAGATGTTGTTTTAACCTCTTACTAGAATAAAATAGCTGTAACTTAGAAGCAGATTAAAATAAACAGTTATGCCTCAAGTCTGCTACAATAACACTCCCTAACATACGTTAACATGAGTAAGTCAATGAAGTAAATTTTATTTTAAAAAACATAATTATATGCAGTATAATCTACTATTTTACAGATTAATAGCCAGCCTTGTCAAACAATGTTTACTCAGTATAAAAATTATTGGACTATGAGGCAGACTGAATTTAATTAAGACATTTTTTGTTACATGGAACTTTATTATTATATAGCTTATAAAGGACATAGGATGCCATTGCTTCTATATTGAATTGATATTCTTATTCATTTTTAGCAACAGTTATTATAACTCAAACACACTTACAAAGCTATGCCAACATAATAATATTTGGTTTTATAGCTTGGCTTAAGCAGAGCCATTTCTAAAGCCATATACTGCAGCTGCACTAGTGCAAGTTCTAAGAGCTTATAGCCTTTAAACTGCAGTGCCATCAGCTTAATCCAGACAGTGCTTCTCTACACTCAATGATCATTTCATGCTTTTTGATTCTGTGATCATTTAGTCTCCCTGTTTCTCCTCTGTATAATTTGTCCTGGCTTTTTCTTGCATGTTTCTCCTCTCACAAGTCTCCCCTGAGTTTTCCCCTCATGATTTTCAAACCTCATTTTAATGCTGGTTTTGAATCTTTTCTATATTGTAACTCTCTTATGTTTTATGCCTTACGTTCTTTACAGCATCACTACAAAGTTGGAGCGAGCGTTGGAGAAAGTTGCGCCCCTGCTCCGAGAGATTTTCGTGGATTTTGCCCCCTTCTTGTCCCGGACGCTGCTGGGTAGTCATGGGCAGGAGCTGCTCATAGAAGGTACAGGTGCTGTACACGGCTCCTTTTCTCTAACTGGCGTCTCTCTGTGGAGTCTCCATCACTGTCCCTCACTGCAGCGCGTGTCTGAATGCCTCACTATGGCAGTTTATGAGAGTGTGTGTGTGTAGGGCTGGGCAGTTTAAGAACTTTTACAAGGAGTGCATCTTAACACCAGCAAAACAAGTCGTGAATACATGAGGTTATATCAAAAGTGCAAATGGACAATCATCTGTTTTTTTGTTGACATATGCCTAAAGTAAAAGTACACCGTAGCATAAAGCAGACCTATTATGTTAGTTATGCAAAATGGACTTTTCAGAGTAAGTTGTATTTGTCTCCAAGTTGTATTTGGAGTGATTCGTGTAGGCTTATTTTCCAAAACTCCATAGTCCCAATCAGCTCCAATTTTCACCGTCACAGGCCCACAACCACTCTGTACTTACTTCATTCTCCAATTTTATTTTCTTAATAATTTCAGCAGTGTTGCGTAGTCTTTTCTTTTCAAGTCAATATGTCTAGTCATTGATTTAGGTTCATATGACCCAGCCCTTCTCGAGTGTCTGTGTGAACGAATGGAAGTGTCTTTGAGCTGCTTCACTCATTCGTCAAGAAGGTACAACGTCTGAGTATTTTGACATAGCTAGCTAGTTCAAGTATTTTCTTTTTAGAGAAGATTATTTCCTACGGCTTTAATATTTGACCTTGTACAAACTGTGAACACTTCCCTGCCCACCTGCTTCCTGGTGTCCTGTTCTTGTCATCCACTGTCTTAATGTTTTGTCTCTGCCTCTCTCGCTCTCTCTCTCGCTCTCTCTCTCTCTCTCTTTCTCTCGCTCTCTCTCACTCTCTCTCGCTCTCTCTCCCGCACTTTTCCCCCTCTTCTCTTGCCGTACTGTTTGTTCTTGTCCTCTTTGTAGCATGCTTTTTATAAACCTGACAACAGTGTCTTATACAGTAGAAAAACACTGTAAAATAGCAAGGAAAAAACAACCGTGTAACTATTCTGACAGTAACGATAATGTTATGTAATGTTATGTTTTCCTAAAGTGCTTAGTGGCTGTCAGAGGAACTTAAGTCTGGTCCTAACTGTGTTTTTATCTTTCTATTTTAGGCTTGGTGTGTATGAAATCAAGTACTTCGGTTGTAGAGCTCGTAATGCTGCTCTGTTCACAGGTTAGAAACTTAGCATTTACTTAAACTTTCTTAAACCTTTCATATGTTTTTACTTTTTATTTCTCAGTACAAAATGTTATAAAACCTTTGTGTGTCAGATTTAGTCTAAAGGTCAGACAAGATAAATGGTTTGCCCAGCAGTCACGCCACAGATGTGTCAAATGTTTCCCTGATGTTTCAACTATTCTTAAAAATAAAACCATAAAGGTCAATTAATTTACATTTAAATTTAGGAAAAACAAATGGAATTATACGTAATAGAATTGAGAAAGATCGCTGAAGAAGTTTGACTGGGCGGTATCCATTGGCCTACGTAACCAGCGCAATGCAGTTGTAATACAATATCACTGAACATCGGGACCCTCCCAAATAAGAATGGCCAGAAACTGTAAAAAACTATAGCTTATGTCACATTCCACAAATACCTGCTGCACATACTAGTACATATATAACCCAAGAACTTTGTAGTACTTGGTTTATAAATAAAGAGAATATTTCAGAACCCGCCCTTTGGTTTACATCTGAACACGTTAGAAGTTAGGATAGACTTAACAATAATGACTCAAACTGAATTTACCAATAAAACAAGAGCTGTATATAAAAATCAGCATTATTGTACATACCATGATAACGCTGCTTCCTGTTCAACCATTTCTTCTCTGTTTTTTCTCCAAAAATAGTGTATTTTTGTTATTTTCCAGTATCTAAAAATGGCCTTGTCCCTGAATGAGGCCACTGCACTCTCCCAGGATGCTCTTTCTTCTCTCTGTTGAACATACCTAGACACGCGCTTCTATCTCGTCTGTTTTAACATTTCAGCGGCTCTAGCTTTCATCTTCTGAAATTTGCCACTGTGCCCTCCCCTCCCATCGCTCCATTTCCCGTCAGCATGTATAGTGTTACCCCTGGCTCCGGACGGGCTGCCATTAGAGGCCCGTGAGAGCAAACCCTACCCCAAATATCGATCCTGCTGATGGGCTGGGGGCGGGACAGGACTCTCCCTGTAGGGTTAGCTAATGGAGAGCTAATAGCCATAGGCTTTCAGCATTAGTTATCACACTCACACGCCTATGCAAGTCAACGAAATAAAGATTTGAATATGTTAAAACACTTTTCCTTATATTTTAGTACTGGTATCCTCTGCATTTTGACAAGAAACAGCATTTTAATGATAGTGGTCCAGTGTACATCAGTGCTGGCCTGGTGAATTGCAGTTCCCTTCAGATTTCTGTTTTTGTGCATTCAAACTTTGTTTCAAGTAATAATATTCTCACTCAAACCTGTGTTTGTTTTTATGACCAGGAGTGGCAGAACTCGATCCAGAAGAATGCTGGACTGGCTTTCATTGAGCTGATCAATGAGGGGAGGTAATACTGATTATTCTATTCACTCCTCACTACCCCAATGGGACAATAACCTCACAGAGTAAAGTACTGTCTACAGTAATAATTAACACAATTAGATTTAAGATATTTGTGTTGGTCTACCAACACATACATCTCTTCCTATTGTATTTTTATCTGTGCACTGTCATCTTATATATTCTTCAAACTAATTCCATTTTTCTCAATCCAGACTCCTGTGCCATGCCATGAAAGATCACATTGTGCGTGTTGCTAATGAAGCAGAATTCATCCTAAATCGACAGAGAGCCGAGGATGTGCACAAACATGCAGAGTTTGAGGTAAGTTGACTTTCATACTTAAGTTTTGGGGTAGAAACCTCTGAGAGAAAAATCCGAAGAGCAAAAATATTTATTTTCCATTATTTTTAAGAATTCTCTTTTTGCTTATGCTTATTGTTCTTGCTTTTTCTCTAGTCCAACTGTGCCCAGTACGCAGCAGACCGGAGGGAGGAGGAGAAGATGTGCGATCATCTGATTAGTGCTGCCAAACACCGAGATCATGTGACAGCCAACCAACTCAAACAGAAGATCCTCAACATCCTCACCAACAAACATGGCGCCTGGGGGACCATGTCTCAGAGGTGAGTAATAGTAATGGTTTTAATCTAGTATTATGTAACTATATACTTGTCCTAAAGTATGTGATATGAATAGGCCAGCTACAACACTGCTAATTTATTGCAACTAAAATTGGCTTTAGTTCATCCATTTAATCAGTCCATGTTTAATAAAGGTCTCCAAAACTGCAGATAATAGTGTCACATGTCACAACTGTAATTATAAACTGTAATTTTTTCATGTTTGTTATTTTTACTGTTGACATAGTAAATTGCCTGTCACCCCGATCTGCCTTAAGGCTATCAGCAAACCTCAGAATCTGATTTTTAATCTTGGGACATGCAGCAGCTGAGACCTGTCATTCTCACGTCAACATGAATACATTTCAGTGTAGCAACCTGCTGCACCAACAAATCCCAAATTATTCACAAAACAAATTCTAATAGAGGAATCTTATTTAGCTGTTAGTTACAGAGTTTAAGAAATCTTGTTTTTTATTCTATGAATTAAAATGAAATTAAGATTTATGTGGCTTTTCTTCATTTTCAGCCAATTACATGACTTTTGGCGTCTGGATTATTGGGAGGATGATCTGAGGAGAAGACGAAGATTTGTGCGAAATGCTTTTGGATCAACTCATGCTGATATTTCACTTAAAGCGCTTGAAGATTATGGTGAGTATTAAAACCTTAGCAAAAATGAAAACTGTGCCTGTCTCATCAAAAAATCCCCAAAACAGGTACAGAAGAAGAGGAGGAGGGTGCCAAGTCAAAGAAAACTTTCCGTAGCCAATCAGTGGTCACACAAAACCCAGAGGCAGAGCTAATGCTGGAAGGAGATGACGACGCCGTCAGTCTGCTACAGGAGAAGGAGATTGACAACCTCGCTGGTAAGTCAGAATGTAAGTTACTTTTATTAATTTATTCACTTCATAAACACACAACTCAAGAGTTGACTTTGACGACTCTCATTTCTAGTACGCTCTTTTCGTCCTCGACTTTTTACATCCAAAGGCAAGTTTGGTCTTTGAACATTTAGCCAGTACTAACCAGTTATCTGATTTGTAAAATGGTCATTCCTGACAAAACGTAATACCAATATTTTAAATCCTGCAAAATCAAAAAAAAAAAAATAACTTAGCAAGAAGAAGTTCTTTAAGCCCTAACCCGATGATCCTCAAACTAGTACTTGAAATTTTCTAATCACCACTGCCTTAACCAACTAAAATAAACACATTCTTACCCAATGACAGTTGCTCTAATAATAATAATAATACTACACTCACTTTGCATCAGATGGAATGTAATTCTGTGCTTATGCCCTGCCAGGCCCAGTTGTTCTAAGTACTCCTGCCCAGTTGGTGGCACCCGTTGTGGTTGCTCGAGGAACACTGTCCATCACAACAACCGAGATCTACTTTGAGGTTGATGAAGAAGACCCTGCCTTCAAGAAAATTGATTCTAAAGTAAATATCAGTGTATGTTACATATATTTTGTGGTGTATGGGACATGTCTAATCTGTTTGACCCTCTCAGGTGCTGGCCTACACTGAAGGCCTCCATGGAAAGTGGATGTTCAGTGAAATCAGAGCTGTATTTTCAAGGCGCTACCTGCTGCAAAACACCGGCCTGGAGGTCTTCATGGCCAATAGAAGTAAGAGTATAATTCTATACAGTATTTACTTCATTTCTTAATCATTATAATTGTAAACACTTAAACACTTATGATTAATGGTGTAATGTTGGTGTATATTTTCTCCTATCCAGCATCTGTGATGTTTAACTTTCCTGACCCAGCCACAGTCAAAAGGGTTGTCTACAGTCTCCCTCGGGTGGGAGTAGGAACGAGCTATGGTTTACCACAAGCCAGGTAATTCACCGAACAGTTTTTGTGCAACATCGTGTCCCTGTGGCAGTTTACTAATCCCAGATTTTTATAGTTACTTTGTTTATTACAGCTTTATTGCCAGATGTACTGTGTTTCAAAATTTTTTCACTATTCCGTTTAATTAATACAATAATTATAAATGTAATTACTGAACATTGTTATTAAAACATCCCCCTGACCCCTATCATTAAACCCCAGTATTATGTGACTTTCTCTTGAATTTTTGTCATGTTTTTTTCTCAGGCGTATTTCTCTGGCCACACCTCGTCAGCTCTTCAAATCCTCCAACATGACACAGCGCTGGCAGAGGAGAGAGATCTCAAACTTTGAGTACCTCATGTTCCTCAACACCATCGCAGGTAAAGTCGGCAAATATTTAAAATGTCTTGTTTGAAGAGAATGGCCTATCTTCTTCACACTTTTTACTATCTTGCCAAGACCATAATGTGCTCCATAAAGTTTCTTTCTGCATTTTGCTCTTGACTACCTCTTATAACCTTGGTGTAACTTGCCACTCATCACTACCTCTCTGTTGTTAAATTATATGTGTTTTAATACTTAAAATTTTAGCATTAGTTTTATCGTAACCCCATTTGGCTTTTTATTGTTTATTGAGAAATGGCTATGTCATTCAAAAAGAAAAAATGCACACTTGCTCGTATTTCTGTCTATACGCTTGAATAACTATGTATTGCAGACAGCTGTTATTGAAGAGATAAAGGATTTGAATTAAGATGAATGTTTGACAGCCACCTCAGCAGCAATTTCCATAAAAAGCCCCTGGAGCAGAATATGTGCCTCCACCTATGTGTTTGTGCTGATGCATTTAGAAAACAGCTGGCTCAAAACTATTGTTAATTGTTTCCTATTCATAATAATTTTTAATCTTGCATGCATTACATTGGTAAGTAGCAATTAGTCAATAATGTAATGTCTTAAGATCTTACAATTTAGTCTAATGAGGATACAAGCATATTGGCAGCACTGGAGCACTGGGCAGACACAAATTGGCTTGCACAACTTTTTACAAAAATGGCTATGAATTTGATATGAAAGTTGTTCAAGTTTGTCAGGAATCTGAATGGTTCTCTTACAGGGAGGACTTATAATGACTTGAACCAGTATCCAGTGTTCCCCTGGGTTTTGACCAACTATGACTCAGAGGAACTGGATCTTACGCTGCCTGGAAATTTCAGAGATCTCTCCAAGGTAAATCACTATTATTAATGTTGTATTATAGCAATGTTATATTTATATTTGACTCATGTCATTGTATTTTGTAATAACACCATTACAGGGTATGTGTTACACAGTTTTCTGATATGTTCCTTCTTGTTTTGTTTCATTCACACATGTTTACTCTATCACTAGAGTCATTTGGATTAGCTAGTTTCTACTAAGTAAAAGGTAAATCAGGTAAAAGGTCTTGAAAATTACCACTTCATGCCATCACAAGGTGGAAGAGAACATTTTGAGCAGAACATTTTGTGTAGACAGACTCAAACATGTGTGAATGAAACAAAACACAACTCCCGGTTTTTCATTCTAACACTGAACCTTAATTTTTTCACATGTTCCTACTTTAACTACATTGTGTGTTCTTTAGCCTATTGGTGCTCTGAACCCTAAGAGAGCAGCCTTTTACGCCGAACGATACGAGACGTGGGACGATGACAGCGCCCCTCCTCACCACTACACAACACTGTACTCCACGGCTCACTCAACTCTGCAGTGGATGCTCAGAATAGTATGATACCACACTTTTAATAACCAGTGCTGTTAAAGCTCAACCTTTTCTTAAACAATGGCATGTCTATCTTCTGTCCATAGGAACCCTTTACAACATTTTTCCTGAACGCAAATGAAAATAAGTTTGACCACCCAGACAGATCCTTCTCTGGTATTGGACGCTCATGGAGGAACTGTCAGAGGGACACGGCTGATGTAAAGGTATGTGCTCAAAGGCTGATCATCCCATATGTGTTAAGCACATTTTTTTTCTTAAGTCTTAAAACAACCAAGGCTTCAAACACAATGCGTCACAGTTGAGACACTGAGATAGGGAGGTCAGTATTATACTGTGGTTAACTATGGTTATCAAAAAATATGACATTATTTTGATTCTTAGATATAACCCAACAAAACAAGATGTTGTGTTCAGTTAACTTAAGAAATCATCATCCTACTTACATTTAGCTGTCAGATTCTGTCAAATGCTCAGTCCACATATCATCTATGCTCCTGTTCTCCATAAATATACAAAAGTATGATACAAAACTGTACTCACAACTTCACAAATATGCAGTAGTTTCATTAGTGGAATGCACGCTCATTGTGTTATGATAGCATTCTGAATGTGGGGGTGACTTAGTGCAGAGAGCAAATTGAGGGGAAACTCAAAAAGGAACTGAAACTCATAAAACATACTGGTGATCTAAATATATATATATATAAATATATATGTTAGCAATTAATCCCCCATAGAAATAAAATGCCCTCTCTTTAATCCTAATCATATCTGACAAGGAAGTTTGTTTGAAGAAGTTTGTTCTTGTCTTACAAATTGCACAAGACACAATTGTTGACTCCAGCAGTATTTGAGACTGTACATTGAATATAAATGTGTGTATCTACAGGAGCTGATCCCAGAGTTTTACTACCTACCAGAGATGTTTGTGAACAGTAACGAGTACGAGCTCGGAGTGAGGGACGACGGAGCTCCAGTCTGTGATGTGGAGCTCCCTGTCTGGGCCAAGAAACCAGAGGACTTTGTGCGGATTAACAGGATGGTAAGAAGAAGAATTTTCTTTTCGCCCAAAACTGTTGTACCTACATATAAATCACATACTGTTGCTTGTTTGAATAACCATTTGACCTCTTCCTTTCGTCTCCCAGGCTTTGGAGAGTGAGTTTGTGTCCTGCCAGCTTCACCAGTGGATCGATTTAATATTCGGCTACAAACAGCGCGGGCCTGAAGCAGTACGAGCTCTCAACGTATTTGACTTCATGTCGTACGAGGGAGCCGTGAGCCTGGACAATCTGGACACAGCACAACGGGAGGTCTGTTCACATTACATCACAACAATATATGTGAAATGATTTTACACAGCACAAATGAGCTCTTTTATGGTTTAATCTAGCAATGATTTTGTGCTGTAAGACTTCAGAATGGATCAAGCTCTTGGGATTGATTTGAAGCTTATTGTACTGAAAGACATCATTACAAAATAATTACAGCATTTTGAGTATTGATCTTTGATTGTTGTTGCGACGTGTGAAGTGTGCTCAAAAACATCATACAATACAAAACAACATAACACATTTATTCGCACCATTAGTCTAACAGAAATGCTTTTTATGTTTTTGTAGTTGATTGAGGCTCAGATTCAGCTCTGTGGTCAGATTCCATCACAGCTGCTGATAGAGCCACATCCTCCGCGATCTTCGGCCATGCACCTGGTGAGTCATGATAAAACAATACTATAATTTATAATAAAGCATATTTTTATTATAATTAAATATGATTATTGAATATTTGTGTAGTAACAAGTTATATTTATTGCCAAAAAGAAGCTGAGAGGTAACCTGATTAAACCATAGCTCTACTGTTCCTTATTCAAACAATAGAAAGCAACTTGTTTTTGTCTTCAAATATTTGGAAATAGGGATAGAACAGATAAATAAATATGCTAAATTGTAAAGTTAGAACTATATTTAGTAGCCCCTTGCCTCAAAAAAGCCTTCTATTGGTCCTTACTCAGCCTCCTCATTCACAGACCTCATTCAGTGTGTCCCAAAAACTCCATCTCTACCTCAGTGTGTTGACCTGCTCTGACCCTGTAGACTCCCACTAACGAGACCTCCTGCTCCTCTCCCTGTCTCCTCCCCTGTCCCATCTGTCTGCCCCTCCCCTGTGATTCCCGCCCTTCTCTCTCCCCTCATCTCCTCTCTCTCCCCTCTCTTTCACCTCACTTTTCTCCTTTCTCTCTCTGTCTCTCCCCCCTCTCTCCTTTCTCCCTCTCTCTCTCTCACCAGTGTTTCCTTCCTCAGAGCCCCTTGATGTTTAAGGATCAGATGCAGCAGGATGTGATCATGGTGCTGAAGTTCCCCTCAAACTCTCCGGTCACTCACGTGGCGGCCAACACTCTCCCACACCTCAGCATCCCCGCCGCTGTCACTGTCACATGTAGTCGCCTGTTCGCAGTCAACCGCTGGCACAACACTGTTGGTGAGTGTGGAGTGAAGAATACTCTTTAAAACTAATATGAACAGAGTTGGTTCAAAATGTTATACTGTCCCAAGCCAAATCACTCAGCATCACCTCTACAGGATTCCCAGTAGAGGTCTGTTAATTGGGAAAAAAAAAAAAACATTCCGTGGTAGGGAGGTAGCTATAACATTTTATTCAAAAATAATTTGTCATACTGATTATATTTTTAAAAATTAAAAGAATACACATACTGGCTAGATTTGATGCATAATGGTATGCCTGTCAATAAATGTTACAAACACTTATTTCTACTGAGTATACATTTATAAAAGGTTACATCAGCTGTATGGGGAGTTTCATCACCTATGTTGGAGTGTTGCATTTTGTATCCATTTAGAGACTTTTTGAGCAATGTCCTTGTTTTGCTGTTAACTGAACCAGTATGATTGTTATAAAATGTGTAAAACTAGACACTTTTTTTTTTTTCCCTTTTAGGAACAAGCTAATTTGTGTAAACATTGTTAATGGCCGATTGTACCTAAAAATATGCAGTGCCCATGGAGCAATCAAAAAGTAACACCACCATACTAATTAACAAGTCATTTGACTAGTACAATGGCAGTAGTGATTGTAGTATTTGTAGATAGGATAGCAAGAGTAGTTTCACCAGTAGTAACATTAGTGGCAGCACATCATCTCAGATACATTATTAGTTAGTACTTGTGTTTCGTTTCGAAGTATTATTTATAAATTACCCCTTTGCAGCTACAGTATATTATGAAATAAAAGGTTGCTTGAGGACACCAGCCTTGCGTCATCCTGGCTTGTAATGCAGTAACAGTTTAGTAATGTGATCATGCTGCATTGTACTAGACACTGCATCAGTATTAGAGCCGTGCTCAGTGAACGGACATATAAATAATGGCCCATCAGTGTTTTAATTTACTTAATTAATGCTTTCATTAAGCAGGAGGTGTAGGTGTAATTAGCCAACACAGAGCACCAGTGTTCAGAGGCGGGTCGTGACTTTGAAGGCCCTCTCTGATGACACATCTGTTTTTACATCGCAACAAAAAGGTTCATTAGATTCAGATAGCAGCCTGGGAAATGGCCAATCAATATGTGTAATTAGGTTTATTTAGCTTTGATTATAGATTATGCTGAGTGACATTTGGGTACATTACTATTGTAGGTCTGCGTGGAGCTCCTGGATACTCTCTGGAACAGGCTCATCACCTGCCCATCGAAATGGATCCTCTGATCGGTTAGTATACTGTTCTTCTTTTAACTGTATGATATTGAAAGTCTGTGTGGTTGATCCATTTCCATAAAGCTGTTTGCTGAATGAAATCAAATTAAATGATTAAATAGAATGGAAACTGATAGTGGCCCTCAAGGGTAAAACACACACACACTAATATGAAAATGCAGATACAAACTTCAAAACTTTTAAAACACGCACGCATTGTCCATTAGAAGTTGAGACTTATTACCTGATACATATGCTGAACTCCAGTCGCTCCCAGAGTTTGGAACTTGAATCTTGGAACAACATGCATGTTCCAGTTGTCAAGTCAGAAAAACAATGACCAGTATATTACAGTAAAGACTCAAAAAAGCCAAAATGCAGATTAACAGTTAATAAAGCAACATTTGAGAGTGAATTTTGGAAATTAAGCCATTATTCTTGTGGAACCCAAAAAGGAGCCATTCAAGAACTGATTGAATTTTGAGTAGGAATCCTCAAAAAGAATGACAAAATAAGAATGAATAAGGATGAACCACTAGCTTACAGTTCCCCTGGAGGTCACCTTGGGCTTGCCTGACTGAAGCAGTGAATATGTGGAGTCTTGGAGACTGCCTCCTGAAATAATATCTGTGATACTTCCCTCTTTCTATGATCATCTCAAACAGACCCCTCATCTACTGGGGGCTCCTGATGGTGATCTTATAACAAAGGCTAGACGTGGGACAGATTTCTTTGTCTATGAGCAATCTGCTGAGTGAGTAAAGGGGGACTTCTATAATGATGAAGAACATAAAAGATGCTACTGTAATTTGTTCAAATGTATTCAAATGTAAATTACTATGAAATTACTATGAAATTCAATCAGGTCTTGAGTATGAGGACAAGAAGGCTTTTCTGGATTTTGTCCAAAAGATTTTGGATTTAAACCCAAACAGAAGGGTCAGTCCAGCTGAAGCTCTCCAGCATACCTTTATGAGCCATTTGAATACTGTCGAATATCCAATATCTAAATAACCTGACAAACAAATCTGAGTTCTGAGTTGGACATTTGAAATCAAAACAAACCTGTACGGCAAAAACTATCATATACCATATATAATAATCAGCTGTGATAGATCAGATAGCGCTTCCAGTGAGTCTGAGGACTGTGCCCTCCACCATGTTACATCAATCATTGATTTCCCAGTACATTAGACCAACTGTAGAAACGGGAACTTTGGATAAGAAATATCCACAATTCCTAGTTCCTAGTGGTCACATGATTTCAACTATATCTACAGAAGATGGCTCAGAAGGAGAAATTGGACTAACCTTGATCCTTAGTGTTACACTTGTGAGTGATTTCCCAAGTACACGATGCAACTGTAGAGACAAGGGTTTAGGGTCAGAGATATCACCTTAAGAGAAGGTCTAAGGAGGAGAAATTGAGGATTGCAGATTATTTCTGCAGACCCACGCCTCACCCACACTCCGATGAAGTCCGTGTGGCAGGATGCATTAGTCAAATAGTGCAGCTCCGCAGATGGTACAGCCACATATGTTACGTTCATGTATTTTACAATTTGATGATATAATCTCAGATGGGCTGCCCAGACCGCTGGTTTAATAGAAAGTGGGCGCTTAGCAACACTGTCTATCAAACCTGTTGCTTACACTACAGGGAAAAAAGGCTCCTGGTTGGTCCTGATTGGTCTTCATATCTTGACTTATGGACAAAATGGCAAAATAAAAACACCAGGATCATGTTGGGTGTATTAATCCAAACATTTTAAGGTTAGAATGATGATCCTGACAGCAGCAGTTACAGAGAGAGGGGTCACAGTTTTTCAGTAAAAAGTTAATTGGAGCCAGAGTCAATGGAAGCTTCCTATTAGGAATGTGGCAGCTAGCAGTTTAACTTTGTCCATAGTCTATGGAGCCATTGTCGAAATATAAAAATAAGCTCAATATTTAGATGAGAAACTTCTGTTTCTAAGCACTACATTTTACATTTATTTTAAGTGTACATTTGGGTAACTGCCTATTATTATTGAGCTGACCCATAATGTCATTCTAAATTTTTGTTTTAATTTATTCCTTCTCACATAATGCATAATGTTTTTCTACATCGGAATGAAAATGTTTAATCTTGCCTCTTCAAAACAAAACCTGGGAGTTAACACCACTCCATGCACAACTCCCTTGTGGGTATGTCTTTTCTTTTTACATAGTGCTACTGGCGAGTCTTTACAGTCCATATTAAAATGTCGACATATAATCTAAGATCCTGTAATGGGGTTGAAGCAGGTGAGGACTAGAAATAAATCAGGCTGTTTCATAACTCATACATAAATGATCAATGTTATTAAGTGGTATGCCTAGAGCAAGTAAGAGCTAAGGTCACTACTGAAATGTGTGTCGATACTTTTTCATATCAACAGTTCTTCATTGTGTAATTTATCAATGTTTTTGTTTTTGTTCAGCAAATAACTCTGGGGTGAACAAGCGTCAGATCACAGACCTGGTGGACCAAAGCATCCAAATCAACACACACTGTTTTGTGGTTACCGCCGACAACCGCTACATTCTGGTGTGTGGCTTCTGGGACAAGAGCTTTAGAGTGTACTCCACTGAAACAGGTAGGTGGTTTAGCGATTTGTTTTGCTTGTGCTGTTAGGAATAGTCAACATTAGCTCACTGCAGTCATTTACTATCACAACTACAACTACTACAAACCTTACCATTTCATTGATTCAACACAATTCCTTTTCAAAATCAGTCAATATACAATTACTGATTAAATCCCTAAGGTAAACTACACAGAAAAACAATGCATAAATGTTAATTACAAAGCATAACTTTAGCCAGATGAGGCTGTGCGAAAATTGTTCAAAGATTCTATAATATGAGGACGTTTTTCAATGACACAGGGATCTGAAAAACATGAAAAAACAGGTTAAGTTACTAATTTGGTATGCAGTTTTGAGCATGACAAGCTCTCACCTAAAACTGTTTTGGACAAGCACAATTATGTTTACCCCAAACGCTTAGACAGGGATTTTAAACCCTTTATCTATCAACTAATTTTCTTTACTTGTCTTTTAAACTTCATATTATCTTGGAGTGCTGAAATGTATGTCAACCTGTCACACTTTTATGATCCCTTTTTAGTAGCAATTTGTCACTGGAGCCCTGTTTATCAGAAGCAAGTGTCTATAATGACTGCTCTTTGTTACTGTCTCCTGCTGAAGCCCTCCCATCATTTATCTCATATGAAAGACCAATGTATCTCACTCCACTCTTGCACCCCCTGCAGGTAAACTGACGCAGATTGTTTTTGGGCACTGGGATGTGGTGACGTGTCTGGCCCGGTCTGAATCCTACATTGGTGGAGACTGTTATATAGTATCTGGATCTCGAGATGCTACTCTATTGCTGTGGTACTGGAGTGGAAGACATCACATCATCGGAGACAACCCTAATAACAGTGAGTGGGATGGGATAATTCGTTATAATTTTGCTAAAGGTTTGAGGCAGACAGTGTAGACAGTGATGGGTGTTAAAAGCAGTTATTTTGTCTGTTTTTAGGTGACTACCCCGCTCCCAGGGCAGTCCTGACGGGGCACGATCATGAGGTGGTCTGTGTGTCTGTGTGTGCGGAGCTTGGCCTGGTCATCAGTGGAGCTAAAGGTCAGTGTGACACAAGAGCAGAGTTTAGGAGCTTTTATTTCACAATTTTAAATATAAAGATTTTTTTTAATATATAAAGTTTTGTAAACTTGTAGTACACATTTACAAGAATGTTCTTTATAAAGCTATTCTATTCTTTTCTTTTTGCTTTTCTTTTGATATGGATAATTGTATGAAAATTATGCTAGAAAGATTACTGTGATTTTATCTGTACTTTTTCATCATAATACATAATTAAAGAATTACATAATTAACCACTTTAGCCATTTTGCTTTTAGCTTTTTTGTGCTAATTATAACCAAAGCATCCCGCTATCAGGCTGTTGCCCATGTCACTTACCCCTAGTGTGATAATTTCTTTCTGTTTAATTTTAATTTTATGCCCAATTTTACACTTTTTGAAAATAACAGTAATTTTTGTGCATTTTCCTGTTGCTAATACTGTTCAGTAGTCAGGAACTATTGTTGCAAAGCATAGGAATGAGTCAGGAAGTAAATATAGTATAGGAACTTTGAGCCCCTCCCTGTTCTGTGACCAGACCATGTGTTTATGCAGTGTAAGACGAAGAACAACTGTGTTCTTATTATTTAATTTTGAAATCTTATCTGTCTCCAGAGGGTCCATGCCTGGTCCACACCATCACAGGAGACCTGCTCAGAGCGCTGGAGGGTCCAGAGCTGTGCCACTGCCCCCGCCTCATCTCTGTGTCCAGTGAAGGCCACTGTATCATCTACTATGAGAGAGGGCGCTTCTGCAACTTCAGCATCAACGGAAAACTCTTGGCCCAAATGGAGGTCAACGACTCCACACGGGTATGGACCTATGCCCTTTTTTATTAGAAGATGTGTCATATATATTATTGAATAGAAACTCATCACTACAGACTCTGAACACAGCCCATGAGCAGGCGTTACAATTTGTAACTCCCTGCTTCAACCCATCATTTGCTGCTATATAATAGGGCTCCATTTCCTCACTAACAAGTGTCACGATGGAAACATCTGTAGATTTTATGCAACTAGTGTTGTGAGAATACAAGCATTTCAAACTTGATTTCTATGAATACTTGAGACTCATACTGCTCATGCTGCTGCCTGGTTATTTCCGGTTTTCTAAAAAGTGCAGATCTGCACTTCCTACACCATTGATGTGTTTTGAGAATTTGCCAAGTTGTGCTATAATAAATAAATTTTTAATACCATGGCAAAGAACAGAAACTAGCCACGTGGCCCTGGGAAAAGGGCCCATACTGACTTCAGTACCACAAAGATAATTTAATATTTCTTTTATAGACAATAGAAGGGAATTTTCTCACAAAACATCAGTAGTCTCTCTAAAGTAATTAATAATTATATTAGTTCTGATCCAACTAGACCATTGCAGAACTATTCAGGTAAACTCAAATTTTGTCCTATTTAAATGTCCAAATGAGTATCTAGTTTTGATATAACCTTACATGTAACCAATCTATGGTCCTAATGTCATGCCTTCATGGTTTTGGGTTTCATGTTGATCTCCTGTATAGAAAAAAACATAACTCTAACACTATATTTGACCTTCACTGTGGATGTTGCTCCTGTAGGCGATCCTGTTGAGCAGTGATGGGCAGAACCTGGTGACAGGAGGAGATAACGGGGTGGTGGAGGTGTGGCAGGCTTGTGACTTCAAACAGCTTTACATCTATCCAGGCTGCGACGCAGGCATCCGTGCCATGGACCTCTCACACGACCAGAGGTGACTTACTAAATATTAACAAGGATTGTGGCTATGAATTTACAGTCTATGTAAAACTGTGATACTGCTTTAAATTTGCCTTATTTGGTGAAATTAAAGTGCATTTAATGTCAAGTCTCGGTGGCTTGGTGGCCACTGCTATGTGGCTTTGTCAAACAGGCATATGCAGGTAGTATACCATTTTTATGCTTTCTTGATGCCGGGCAACAAGCTTTGGAGTTGTTTTGGTCCAAATTTATTAGATTTAGGAGATTCATTATCTCCTTTGAGAAGGAGCTGAGGATACTAACATCAATAAATCAACTGTTCCTTTGCTATACTGGAAGAACACAGAATTATTTAACCTACTGAAGTACTGGTTCAGTGTTGGGGAGAATACTTTTTAAAAATTAAAAATTACTTATAGAATACTGAATACCTGCATTAAAATTCTGTATTCTGTTACTTGGACCAATTGGACTACTGTATTCTGACTGCTTTCATATATTTTCGGTACATGTATTTAGTTACTTCCAACACTGCTGATTATTTTATTGAGCTTTAGTTTTTCCTGGGTATTGTGCATCCCATATGACTGATCTGTTTAAAATGGTGAAGAATTTGTCATTGTTATTTGGTTTACTTTAAACTGACTTTCCTTTTCACCTCCTAGGACCCTGATCACTGGCATGGCATCAGGCAGCATCGTGGCATTCAACATAGACTTCAATCGCTGGCACTACGAGCACCAAAACAGGTACTGAGGAAGAGGAGGAGCTGAGTGTCTGAGCAGCACTGAGGTACAAAGAGGAAGGAGAGACTGGACTTACCTCTGGTCCAACAGTCGACTCGGAGCAGCGCTGGTGGATACTTCTCTCATCCGTGTTTGTAAAGACACGCGTACAGACACACAGCCCTGAAGACTCACACCAAAACCTGCTCCAACGCAGACAGAGGAGGTCAGCCGGATATCTGCGGACTGATCCTGGCTGTTCCTGGTTCGCTTAGCGCTTCAAAGAACCGATGTTTGCTTTTCTCTCATTTCTTTATATTCTTATAAAGTATCTCCTGTATTCAAGTTATTTGGGTGGACTATCAACACTTGTCTAAACATCTCAAAGTTGTACCAGCCCCACCCACTTTAGGAATACAGGTGCTATTTGGCTTGATCTTAAATTCACAAATCGCGTAGGGTTATAATTTTATTTAATTTTATTCAATGTTAATTTTTACTCTTCTTTTACCTCTGAAGTTCTGATTTTTATGTAAATAAGGCTCTGCTTCTTTGGGGCCTACACTTGTTCTTTCACTACACAAACTGCGCTTATCACCTTTAATTTATTAATGACTTGCTGTATGTAAGATATTGTGTAATAATTATTATAATGTTGACAAGACTGATGGTAATAACGGGGAAGAAAGGATGCTCATTGTTCTGATGGTGAAAGTTGTGCCAGCCAGGAGGACCACAAGACGAACATGAATTCCTTTGTAAATTCCGTGATTGTTTTGTCAAATATGTACATATAGTCCGCGGAGACTAGAAAGCGCAAACTCAACCTTCACTTAACCCACATTTGTTGATTATTTAAAAAAATAAACTCAAATTAATGTAAAAGATTGTTTTGTATTTGCACTTTGCACCAATCACATATCATTATTTATTAGCTTGGTTCTTTACAGTCGGCTGCCATTTTGTTTTTAGGTCCATTTTCCAGACAGGAATTATTTGTGCATTGATGTTTGTATTTAAAGCGTTGAGCTCATGTGTGATTATTATGTTTTACAACCTCACCGTTGTAAGCAATATCATGATTCTGTAGCTGATAGAGTGGTTCGATGGCGGCCGCAGCGGGGCGTACGTGTAAAGCCATCTGGATCAAACGCGCACATGCACACACTCTATCGACAGGTTCAACTTACGTATCCAAAAAAAAGTGAAATATTTTTGGATCTATGAAACCCTTAAAAACTATTGTATTCATGTTTTATTGCAAAGATGTAAAATATGACATGTGTGAGTTGGAAAAAAATCATGATAAGAAAAATAAAATATGCAAAGAATTTGATGGCTTGACTTTTCATTGGCCATATATTCTAATTTAATAGTTTTATATTTTTATTTTACCATTATCCCTTGCGATATCTTTCGTACCAATACCACCACCAGAAAAGTTATGCGTCTTTAAAGGTCCTATATTACTCAAAATTGACTCTTGTGAGCTTAAGCCGTGTTAGAATGTTACATCCTCAAAAACATACCCAGAGTTTTTGTTTTGTTTAATTCACGCATATTTTAGTAATACTTTATTAGTCCATTTACATGTTCAAAGTTCTCTGTTCCACCTTGTGATGTCATCCAAATGATTCTAGTGAAGGAATATGGAGTTTAAAAACACAGTGGTTTTTGAAAAAATTGAGTGTTTTCTGTTTGAGAGAATAACTCAGCCTAAATGCAGAGATTGTGTGTTCATTGTGTGAATGAAACAAAACACAATTCCAGGTATGTTTGTGATTAGGAAACATTATAACATAGATGAAAAATTTAAGTAATATGGGCCCTTTAAAAATGTATCTTGATCATAACCTTTACATGTATCAGACTTTGAAAATACCTGCAAGAATTCCCTTTTTTCGGAAAACCTTGACAATATAACCATTATCAAACACAGTCTGTTCTAGCAGCTCAGGAACAACAATGCGTGACACTTTCAGTTGTTTTCTTGTTTATTATTTGTGTCTGTCAACGCCCCTGTATTACCTGTCCCTGTGAGACTTTCATTGGATTTTGTGCGAAACTGTGACAAAGATTGATTAACTTTCATAAATCTCTCAGTTTAAATGGACCATTTTGTTGTCCTGTCAAATCCATAGCATTTCAGCAGCTCCTTGCGCAGATACTTTGACAGTTTCTCTCAGACAGGTGGCAGGGATCAGACATCTTACACTGACAAACATGAGAGACTGGTCCTTCACACAGTTACAGCGCTCACTCACAAGCAGGATTTCATCTTGTAGTTCACTCCGCATTTGACCTTCTGTCTGATACGGGCTTCATTTCATTCATCGCGTCTCCTCCACCCTCCAGGACCACTCCATGATTTATTACACACTTTCTACTCTACAGCCTCCAATATACCAAGCAGCAGTTTGTGAGTTTTTAAGGTCATCTAATTCACTTACTTTCAATGCCATTTTAGAACGAGCTACAGAACGACAACTGTGAATAGCTGACCAGTCTGTAGACCTGCATGTTTTGGTCATCAGACTTGTTATTTCATATATTTGCTCGAACAACCCATAGGTCAGTCTTGTTCAATTTCTTTGAAGTATTCTGCAAGTATACCGGCACCCTTATAAAACCTTTACACAAATGTCTGAGTGGAGCTTATATTTTTCTTTCTTTCCCCGCTAAATTGTGGATTACAAAGCATCAGCCAATATGTCTTGTTTAAGTAAGATCTATCTATCCAAGTGGCCTCCATGGTGATAATAGGGTCATTCTTAAAGATGCATTTTTCTGGGATGTCTGCCACCTGCTTGTCTCTCTGTAGAGATGGTATGTTTTATGTTCTACATTACGGTAATAAACTTCTATCATGCATTTATGAATCAAAAATCTTGAAAATCATGTTTTCTCTCCACAGATTTGACCTGTAACTTGGAGATGCCATCAGCTCATCACTGTGGAGAAATCACATTAAATTCCATACTAAACATTCTATGGAAAGAAATAACAGTCTCCACTTGAAAGGTTACAAAAGTCAAACAGTCAAAATGAAGTTAATGTTAGAGAGAAACAAAGAAGGGAGCGCATGTAGAATTTTGTCAGTGCTTTTAATCCAAAAGTGAAGCATCCAAGATCATGACTATTTCATATCATATCAATCTGCAGAGCCCTGTCCAGTTTCATTTGGGCCCTGTGCTGTTATGCCATTTAACTGAATTTACTCAATGGGCAACCCATGGTTAATCCAGCTCATAAATGCAAACATGTATATACAAAATAGCTAGGCTTCCACTGACAAATGATAAATACTTACACAATATCTGAATCCCTTTTACCAAATATCATGTATCCTGCATTTCTAAAATAAAAACAATCAAATTAATATGTGGGGGGAAAACTGTCCTCTAAATTTTGGCAAAGAAAAAAATGTGTACATCAAGAAGAATATGAATAACCATATTAGCAGTAAACCTGTACTCATCTTTTGGGGCCCCTGAAGTGAAAAGTGGGGCCCTTTTTGACCATCAAGTCAAGTCCAAATGACCAATATTAACACTTTATTTTACTTCACAAACTTTGCCAACATTACCATAGTGACCACCTACTCCTATGGGCTTACATGCAGGAGGAATTTGGGATAGTTTTGTGGCGTTGTCTCATGCATGAATGAACCAGTCTATGCCATTATAAAGCAGTCTTTCCAAAGCGCCCTCTCTACTGGGACAGAGTGGAGATGGTGGAGCGCTGCGAGGAGATGCTGCAGATCTCCATGTTGGTGAAGGAGCTGCCCGCCTCGCTGCTACAGTCCGGGACAGGAGACGCCGACCCGATGATGTTTTTCAGCCGGTGCAGAGAGATGACGAGCAGGGTCAGAAGGAGCACCAAGAGCCCCAGGAACAGCCACACGTACACGTAAACATTCCCCGGCCTGCCAGGGGAGGACGCGGCCGCAGACGTGGAGGGCGAGGTCGGGGAGAAGCGCAGAAGAAAAGTCCCGTTATCTGCCACCGGAGCGAGTCCCGTGTCATTGTGGTCCACCAGAGGCACACCGGACATCCTGGCGCTACGGAAGTGAGCAAAGAAAGACAGGTTAGTTAGACACTTAAGGAAACTTTTGGGGAAAAAAAAAAAAAAAAAAAAAAGGTGAGTGAGTGTGTATTTATTATTTTTTCTGCTGATTTAATTGATTTTACTTTTGCCAATAATAATAATAATAATAATAATAATAATAATAATAATAATATATAATAATAATAATAATAATAATAATAATAATAATAATAATAATAATAATAATAATAATTATATTATTATTATTATATATTATTATTATTATTATTAATTGTGGGAAATATTCTGTGTTGATCATGCTGATTCACCCAATATCTTGTACCTTGGAATGACAACAGGGTGAAAAACACGTATGACTATCTATAGTTCTATAAAAGTCATGTTTTTCTGTACTTTGAGATGCCACGAAGCAGAAAACTGATGCATGTGGACCCCGTGGCATGTACCCACCCATGATAAAGTGTGATAAAGTGTACCGGGTCAGCATTATTGTTCATTTTCTTGCTGTATATGCTAAATCCACAAGTTAATGTTTTGTCAGATGTGTGGTATAAAGCTACCCCTCATTGTGAGTTGGGCAGAGGCGTCGTTCCGGGGTGGCAGTTGTACTCGGTAATCAATACTGAATCCCTCTCAATGGAAAATGCTGAAATAAAGTGGCCTGCTTTCTCGGATCCTTCCATCTTTTGTGCTTCTTTCTAGGACACGCACTGAACCTTCCGAAAAACCCCACAAAATAAATTAAAAAAACTTCCTGATTTTAGTTAGCATAGTCATTTAGGCTTATGCTATGGGAAATATAACCGATGTTGACTTATTCTGATATTTTTGACAGGACAAAAGAAACAGAAGCAGAAAATGGGGCAGAGACACTAACAGAAACTAAACTTCTAGAAACTTCAGTCTGAACAGGTAAATTGCAATGCACACAGAGTCACACTCATGCTACGTCAGTCATCAAGTATTAACTATTAAATTATTAGTACCATTAAAATTATCATGAAAAGTATTGCAAATTTAAACTCAGTGTCTTAATTTAATGACATGTTTTTATGCTAAAACTTTTGGAAATACAGTGAATTTTGGTGGAAGAAGTTGAAGTCCTCTTGTCAGGTGTCGGGCTGCGCAGAAACAGTAGGGGGAGTGCTTGTCATAGCAGTCTCCTCTCCACCTCTGAGCCTGGAGCTGGGCCAGAAATGAAGCCATATTCTTATCTGATGAAATTAAAATCCTTGTAATCAGCTTTCACAAAGACAGCCCGGTCTGATCCCTCCTCCGCTCTATATTAACACAGCTATTAGCCTGTTCCTATAAGTGGCTTGAACCTGAAGCCTCCATGCATGGATACTGTAGGCTGAACATTGAGGCCAATCATTATGTGAACAAACTGCATTCTAGGTCAAATGTGCTACCAATGTATCGTTAAATACTTAATTATTGTCATATAGTCCTTTATTACCTGAAATAAATTAACACAGAGGAAAAATATTGAATATATTTTAATAGGGCACATGAAATATTTTTTTCTCATTACTTTTCTCATTATTGGACATTAAACAACATTTAAACTCACGGTTCCTTGAGAGAATTTACTTCCAAAGGTTTCTTGCTATCAGGAAAAGGTAATTTGGCTTCTGATCAGATTAGTCAGACGCTTTAACTTATGCTGTCATGTGATACTCAAGTTTCTTGCAGTGTAAATATTGTGCTTGCCAATATCACATATTTTCTGCACTTAACATTGCACTCATTTTTTATTTATTTTTTTAATCTATCTAGCTCTTACAAACCTTTTTGCATTTATTTTTCTGCAAATTCACCAGTGAGCAGCCAGTCAGATCTCAAATGTCCTACATGACAAGTTTGCGATCGATAAAATGTTTTACAATGTATTGCAGACAGCATTTGCTCACAAAGCACTGTTTGCACCCAGTCTTTCGCAGATAGAGGAAAGTTTAGTAACACAGCTTTAATTTAGTGGCCCATATGTGTTTGACAGTGAGGCTTCCTTCTGTGCTTTGTGTCTATGCCAGAGGAGACAGTTGAAAGAACTAATAACTGCATGACCACAGAAAGAGGCAGGGGTCAGCTCTCATCAGTGTCTCTCTGTGGGCCCAGTCTCTCTGACAGCCCCTTCCTCCTCCACAGTTACACAGGCATTAGACACGCACCACATGGAGGATCAGAGGATTCTCTGTCCATTCTCTAAGATCAACCAAAAAAAAAAAAAAAAAAGAATTGAGTTTTGTCTATTTTTGGCAATGACCACAGCAAGGAGTAATTTGAAATATTTCTTAGATCAGTCCTTTGACACATAGTTTTAGGATGCACCAATTTCAAGTGCCAGTACTGTAGCTTTAAGTATCTGCCGATGCCCGATATGAACCGACTGAAAACAGCATTAATTTCCTTAAAACAAAAAATACAATTAGACAAAACTGATCCAAATGTGTTGTGTAGCTGTTATTTATCTCTTAAGTGACTGAACAACTTAGTATAAATACAAATTCAAACATTATGAGACTTTCTGTGCCACCTACAACCACTAAAGAGTCTTATAAAAATGCTCAACCAGAATACTGACTGAACCAATTTTTGGATGCTGATATCCTATCCAGCATTTTTTCAGTATCCGTGTCGACATCGGATCGGTGCATCCCTAGATTTATTGGTGGGAAAGGGAAAAGAAAGAGAGCTAGACTGGATTTCAGTAGGAGCAGGACGTCTTATTTGTTTGTATGTATTTTTCTATTTCATAAAATGTACATGCATATATTATTGTTAAGCATATCTGCCATTTAAAAGTGATTTGAATCATGCATGTTATATTCCTGCTTGGCCTTTTAGTGTTACTCAGTTTCTACTACTGGTGCATGGTTGTTGCACTATGTCAAAAATCTGAAGTTAAAGCTAAAAATTTGAACTGTTTCTGTGGAGTCAGCCAAACCAAAGTGCTCCATATGCTTTTTCTATCTAATTGAAAGTGGGGTTGACTTGAAAATGCTGTCCTTAATTTACACCCCGCTCCTTGATGCAAAGTGGAATGAGATGCCCCAACTCTATTTTCTTTATCAAATGGTCCCAGTGGTGTTTCCGGGCCACTTCTGCCTCTTTTAACTTATCTCCTCTAATTTGAAATCTTATTCTTTTTTCTTTCAACGCTCGTCTGAATTATTTATGATTCCCAGTGTCCATAATATCACCCCAAGCTCCTCAACTCCATTTATGTCTTCATTAATAGTATGTTGTGTATCGTTTAGTTCCTGTATTGCACACTATCAGGTTTTAAGTTTTATGTATTTAATAATTTTAAATTTCAACGTTTGTAAGTCTTCAAATAATAGTTCAAACCAATGTAGTAATATTGTTAGAGATGGCTTCACTGACTTATAAATAATTTATGTTGGACCAGTCTGTGTAATGTATAGTCAAGATAGGCGCTTGTAAACGTCAACAAGAATGGCATAACTTGCTCTAATGATTATGATTCCATTGATTTAAAACAAGAACTTGCATTTATTTTGAACTGGTTTCATCTTGGGATTCTTGTTCTAATCTACTACTACTACTACTACTACTACTACTACTACTACTACTTCTACTACTGCTACTACAAAAGATATTTTTAACGCATCTAGGTTACACCCCTGTATTTTCTGTTATTTATCCTAAGTGGGTTTCAATACGTAGAGGACATTTGCTCATATTGAAGTTCACCAGTTTCAAACTCCATTTGACTGAAGCCTGAGCTTGGTCAGAGCAAATGCCAATACTATCGACAGCTGTTCTATTGCACAGATCACAGTCACAGCTACATGCGGACATCAATAACGCAGCTAAATGAGTTCAGTGTTCACAACAGGAGTATGAGGCAAAGCCGACTAAAGAATAGGCAGGAAGGAAGGAAGTAGTAATATCTTCTGAATTATGCAAAGATATTATAATTTACAACGATGGTACTATACCTATGCCATTTAGTGGCTCCAAGTGTGCATTTTGGCGGTAGATCAATAATAATTTAAAAGTTAACATTTTCCAATTATAAACCAGATAGAGCATTTACCCTTGAACTAGACTACCCCCTGAACCTGTCTTACAGTTTGAACCATTGGGAGATAGGGCAAGCATTTTCGTTTTCTTTCTTTCTTTTTACAATAGGAAAAATAACCTTCCTTCATACATTTCCCTTCCCTAAGTCCAGCCTGACGCCCTCCCACATGCTGTAGCCCAGTGCAGGTCTCAGTCATTAATGATATGTTGTTTTGAAAACGCATTTGGAGCCAGTTCATTGTCAACAGAAGTGGCTGATAATTGTGCCTAATGATGCTTTTTGTATCCAGGCAACAAGGTGCGATCCGTTGTTCTTTTTTTTCCCAGATAATCTAGTTTGGGAGCTCACGCTACAGTCCCTCTGAGGCCGGAGGGGTCAGACTCACACATGCTCATATCACAACGCCTTCATTAGATAAACTGCAGTTGTAATTTCATCCAATCATAGCTAGCCATATAATGAAAACAAATTGAGCTAAATGGGAAAATTATGTCTCATCATTAATAAAATTTATGTTGCACCCATCCTCCTTTACAGCTGTGTGATGGTGGTTTATAATTTCTTTGAGCATGGCCTGGTTTTCTAAGTGCTCCTCTGGCTAAGCATGGACACACTTTGGCATTTTGTTCACAGAAATAACAAGGGGGTGTTGATAGAGCTAGTTTCTTTCTGGATCATTTGTGTGCCTTTTTTACACGTCTTAATCTTATATGATTCTAGGTCTGCATCCTGTTTTGTTTTTTTTTTAAGATAAGAAGGCTGTCGTGATGCCTACAACTGTTTCTCAGTTTGGGGTCCATGTTGTGAGGTGGGCACTAAATTAAATTATTAATAATAATTTTGTTATTTTGAAGATATGCAGAAAAGTAAATACCCTGTATGCTTTTGTCCAGAGGGATATGACTCTCCTCAAACTGCTCATACACAGGACCAGCCCTCCT